GAACAAGAGGCGAAGCCACTGGGGAAAGCGAAGATTTCTAAACCTCCAGATGCAACGGGGAGACCCGCCTGTTTCCTTTGCAACAAACAAGGTCATCGTGCAGCAGACTGTTGGTCCAAGTCAAGAGGATCCAACCCAAAGTTGACTGTTTGCTGGAAATGTCGCAAAACCGGGCATAAAACAGAGTCTTGCCCTAACAAGACAGACGCGGGTGGACAAGCATCGTGTTCCCTGGCGCCTCAGAATGAGCCAGGGAAAGTTGGTTTGGACATTCATTCCCTTAAAAGAAATGTGAAAGCAGAGCAGGATGAACAAAGAATCGATGTTCAAACAGATGGCATGCCAACGGCTGAAGGACTGCTTGAACGACAGCCTGTCATTGTACTGCGTGATTCAGGATGCAACTCGGTCATCGTAAAGCGATCTCTGGTTCCTGATGACAAACTGACAGGAAGGAGTCGATCGATCTACCTTCTCGACCGGACAGTTCGATGCCTACCTGAAGCGGAAGTGGACATCGACTCTCCTTATTTCACGGGCACAGTAAGGGCAACCTGCATGGAAAGACCGCTGTATGATGTCGTCTTGGGCAACATCGATGGCGTACGGGATGCTTCTGCTCCTGATGTCAAGTGGAGAGCAGACCAGAAATTTCTTCCCCTGCAAGAAAAGCCCCACGAAAAAGACGAAATCTTGGGCAATCAACGAATTTGGACAGGGACGACCTCCTCACCGAGCTCCGGAGAGCAGAAAGGCGAGCTTCAGGCTAGTGTCGTAACGATGCGAACCTCGGCGACAACTGCTGGGCTACCAGTTGCAGAAATAAATCCACTGGACATCAACCCGGCGGAGCTAAGCGCCAAGCAAAAGCAAGATGCTACACTCAAAAGATGCTTTGAAGCAGTGGGAAGCAAGGTTGCCTCAAGATCAGCCGACATCGACTTCGTGCTGATGAACGGGATTCTTTTTCGACGATACAGACTTCCATCGCAAAAGGAAATGGAACAACTCGTTGTCCCAACTGGCCTCCGAACATTCGTTCTAAAAATGGCACACGAAGGAATACTATCTGGACATCAAGGAATCAAAAGAACGACAGATCGAGTGCTCGAAGAGTTTTACTGGCCAGGGGTACAAGGGGATGTCACGCGGTTTGTGAAATCATGCGACATCTGCCAAAGAACCGTTCCAAAACACTTGGTAGGCCGCGTGCCTTTGGGAAACATGCCCGTGATCGAGACGCCTTTTCAACGGGTAGCAATTGACATCGTGGGACCACTGTCACCAACCTCAGAGAAGGGCAACCGTTACGTACTAACCATGGTGGACTACTCGACCCGCTATCCTGATGCAGTTGCCCTGCCAAGCATCGAGACGGAGAGGATTGCGGAAGCTCTCCTCGAGATGTTTTCACGCGTGGGATTTCCTAGAGAAATCATCAGCGATCGGGGCAAATCATTCACATCCGGACTCATGAAGGAGTTTAGTCGTCTCCTCTCGTTTAAGCAGATGCCAACCACGCCGTATCATCCCATGGCCAACGGCCTCGTGGAACGGTTTAATGGCACGCTAAAACAAATGATACGACGAATGTGTCAAGAGAGCCCGAAAAGATGGGACCGATACTTGGCACCACTACTATTCGCGTATCGCGAAGTGCCGCAGGCCAGTGTTGGGTTTGCGCCATTTGATCTCCTGTATGGCAGGTACGTCCGAGGACCGATGGCCATATTAAAGGAAATCTGGACAGGAGAGCACCTTGACGAAAACACGAAGACCTCGTACGGCTACATGGTCGAGCTCCGCCAGCGCTTGGAAGACACTTGCCGGATAGCACAGGAGCAGCTCAGAAAGGCGAAGATAGTACAGAAGAAGTACTACGACAAGAAGACGAGAGTGCGCCAGCTAGCTGTTGGAGACAAGGTTCTACTTCTTCTCCCCTCCGAGAACAACAAGCTGATCCTGACCTGGAAGGGCCCCTTCAAGGTTTTGGAGAGAAGAAATGACATCGACTACGTCATTGATCTGGGAACAAGAAGTAGCCTATTCCATATTAACATGCTGAAAAAGTACGAAGAGAGACCGGTTTCTAACCAACCACCGCAGCATGCCTCAGTCGCGGTCCAGCACGAGGAAGTAGAGGAAGAGGACATACCTTCTGTGACACTCCACAAGAAGGAAACTCACCAGGATGTGAAAGTCTCGAACGACCTAACAGCCTCTCAACAAGCGCAGGTGTCTATCCTCTTGGCTGCGCACAAGGAAAGCTTCACAGATGTCCCAGGAAAGACCTGCCTGGTGGAGTGCAAACTGAAGACCACCACCGACATTCCTATTCGAGTACAACCATACCCGATACCGTTCGCTATCCAAGAAGCGGTGCAGGAGGAAGTCCAAGAAATGTTACAGCGGGGAATAATTGAACCCTCCGAATCGCCGTACCAATCTCCCATAGTGGTGGTAAAGAAAAAGGATGAATCAATGCGGCTGTGCATTGATTTCAGGCAATTGAACAAGGTCCTCGTCCCCGACAATGAACCCATCCCAAGGGTGGACATGATGTTCGCTAAGTTGGGAAGCAGCCGATACTTCTCAAAGTTCGACTTTTCGAAAGGTTATTGGCAGGTGCCGATGCACGAAGGGTCAAAGCAAATGACAGCTTTCCCTACGGCTTCGGGACTTTTCCAGTTTCGATTTATGCCTTTTGGGATCAAGACTGCACCGGCAGTGTTTACCCGGCTCATGAGGAAGGTGGTCCAAGGCCTGCCAAACATCTACCACTATTTTGACGACGTCCTCATCGCCACTGAAAACTGGGAAGAGCACCTGGAAACACTCAAGTCATTCTTTCAGCGGGTGAGAGATGCTGGTTTGACGATACGGCCAACGAAGAGCGAAGTCGGCTTTGCATCAGTCAAGTTCCTCGGTCACATCATTGGACATAACCTCCTGCAACCGCAAATCGAGACGCTAAAAAAGATTCAAGTGGCCGAGCCACCCGAGACAAAAAAGGGCGTCCGCTCGTTTCTTGGCCTGACAGGCTACTACAGAGATTTCGTTCCGCAATACTCTGAAATTTCACAACCCCTAACGGAGTTGACACGAAAAAGGGCCCCGAACAAAGTGAGTTGGGGGAGAAAGGAACAACACGCTTTTGAGAAACTGAAAGAAGTACTGTCGAGCCGACCCATCTTAAGGGCACCAAACTTTTCTGAATCTTTCGTGCTTAGTACGGATGCGTCATCCACAAGCGTGGGGGCGGTTCTCATGCAGCGGCATAATGGAATACTCCATCCTGTAGCTTACGCGAATCGTAAACTGCTACCTCGTGAAGCCGGCTATTCAACGATAGAGCGAGAAGGCCTGGCACTGATATGGGCAGTTAAAAAATTTCATGTGTACTTGTACGGGAAGCCATTCATTCTGCAAAGCGACCATCAGCCTTTATTGTACATAAACTCTGCAAAGCACATCAACAGCCGTGTGCTACGTTGGAGCTTGACGCTCATGGAGTACGACTTTACAGTCGAATATATCAAGGGCTGTGAAAATGTGGGCGCCGATTATATGAGTCGCATGTCTGTTAAATAAGAATCTCAACTTTCTTATTATTCTTTGTAGTGATGCATTGTGTACAATAGTCAAAACAGTTATTTTTTTCTTATGAGTGTAACGTGATTATGACAAGGTTGTTGAATCAATTACTTTGCATATGTTTGTGTGTGGGAGAAACCAAAAGTTTGAACGAACCAGATGTCAAATGTGTAAACTGTAATATAGTTTGTGGACAAGTTTTTTTTTTCTTTTTTTTTTTTTTTTTGTTATGTAGTAGACATTGTTTGACCGAAACAACGCTCTTAAGTGAGGGGTAATTGTGGTGATTTCGGACTTCAATGTAGAAGAAAAAAGAGGACGACGACGAAAAGGAATGCTGATGTGGCTGGTTGACTGTGTGTTTGTGTGCACGGGGAAAATTTGGCGCGAGTGGCGGGTGGTGGAAAAAGAAGAAGTTGAGGGAGGCCTGGAGGTGACCGAACAGGACAAGCGAGCAGGATCTGGTGGACGAAAAAACCGACCCGCAACGATAGGCGTGGTCGGCACGGCTTCAGTTCGTCGTCCACAAACACAGGCCTGGTCAGCGGGCCTCCGAGGCTGCCCTGCCGCTACTTCAGGCCACACTCTTCAAGCCACCCCGTCGTCCACTACCCAGCCCCAACGCGCCAATCTACCTGGCATCAAGACTTCGGCGTGCCAACCATGATCAGAACTCAGACCCGCTTCACGGACTATGTGAAGTACTCCTCTTTAATTACCCTTTAAGTGCTAGATTTTCCGATAATTAATTTTTTTGAATTTTCTCATTCTCTAGTGTTTAACGCTTTAATATATTTTCGTACTGGCCCAAAGATGTCGTCTCTTTGTCCATGCTCTTCGCGCCGCACACCCACGCAAGCGTGAACGCGGTCCACTACACCTTGGAAGGGGTCACGTGACCTTGGGGGTCACGTGACCTTGGGGAGGCGACCACGTGACCTCGGGGGTCACGTGACCTCAGAGGGGTCACGTGACTTGGGGGTCACGTGACCTTCAAAGGGTCACGTGGGGTCATGTTGGGGTCACGTGACCTTGAGATGACCTTGGAAGGGGTCACGTGACCTCGAGGGGTCACGTGACCTTCAGGGGGTCACGTGGGGTCACGTTACCTTGAGATGACCTTGGGAGGGGTCACGTGACCTTGGGGGGGTCACGTGACCTTGGGATGACCTTGGTTACGCCGACGCCGACGGCGACGGCGACGCCGACGCCGACGGCGACGCCGCTCAAGCCGGGAACGGGCCCCTAAGAGCTGCGCTCTAAAAGCGAATGCTCATCGCTACGTCCAAAAAAAAAAAAAAAACGCATGCGCCGGATATTTTATTGCGCGTATGTACGTTCCTAAGCCCAGTAGATAAAGGTGGCAGCGTGCAGAAGGACATAATTGGAATGGTGTGTGGTGACAGAGCGTCTTCGAAGAACAAGACGCGGACAGCTTGAAGGACGACCACAAGGCCTACGCCGAGCTAGGACAGGACCACGTGCGCCCGGAGCTCATTCCGGAGAAGATCCACAGGATCCCGAGAGCCAAGGCAGGCAGCGCTCAGCAGCTGAATATCGACCATGACGTGGACGCCGTCTACCAGGCCAGACAGGCGGCTGCCGTCAACGGGTATCTCAACCAGGGCTTTGAACACGACGTCGAACCACGGTGAGTCCCCGTGTTACCTGGTGCTCTGCTTGGCGTTCCTTGGTGTCAGTTTGGGTGCAGACCAGTCTTGTACGCGTTATTGAAAAAAAGTAACCGATTACAATTGCAATATTACTTCATTGAAAAATGTAACTGATTACAGGAATCAACTACCGCATCACAAAAGTAATTAAAAAATTACCAGAAAGCAATGAATTTGTTTCAAAGGTTCTTTTAAAACTTTTTATTACAAAAATAAAAGATGCATACATATGTCTAAAGTGGTTATATTCGAACAAATGATTAGAAACTGCCGAAGCCTAGTAAAGATTTTCCATTTTATAACTCCAGAGAGCGCACAAGACCTCATTCGCGGGCGCATTGAGAACTAAATAGGCCGTTGCTAATATAATTTGTGATTTCCTTTAATGACAGAGATATACATAGAAAGAGAGAGAAATAGAAGATATAAATGAACAACTACATGCTTAACTAGTAGAAACCACGATCTAGTAACCAAACAAAATTGTAGATAAGATAGCCTTATGGTCTTAGTGCGTTCTCTACAAGCACGCGCTGGTGAACTCTTCCTAGATGAAATGGCCCCCATTTCATCTAGGAAGAGTTCACCAGCGACAAAGACCCCCACCGCCCCGGTGGGGGTCTTTGTCGTGGCTGGATGCGTTCAGTGTAGAGCACAGTCGTCTATTCCGCGGCGAACGCTAATCGTAACAACACGTACACAGGAAACGAGGCTCTCTGGACGGCTCGACAATCAAAACGTCGCTGAGCTCGATGACATTCTAATCCTTCTGGTATCTTGGTATCTATGTTTAACGTTTAGGGGTTCGATAAAAGTATCCAACGTCGGTGCAACGTAGACGAGTGAGGCACGAACAGACAGGACGATCTTTACGTAAAAAAATCTCAATAATCTTAGCTCTTTCGGAACCATATAACTGATTACTCGTAATTGATTACAGAAAAATAGTGATACAAATACAGCGAACGTTATCGCAGAAAAAGATCAATGGAAGCGCAAAAAAGTTGCAATAAAAGGTAATTGATTACAGGTGATGAGTTGCTCGTAACTCGTCACGTACGTCCCATTCAAAAATTACGCCCTCTGACGGTCGATTTTTCTTTTTTTTTACACATTACATGGGGGAGTGGTACAGCCGTGTCTGTTGGTGTCTTGAGCCAAAGTTCGAGGCAAATTAGCGACCTTAAACAAATTGCTAGAGTGCCCCTTTAAAGATTTTGTGCACCCTTTGTAACAAATAGTTGTCGCTTTGTGGTTATGAGCCCACTTCGATCACACACGAAATGTGATACTTACCTGTAAAGTTCTCAATGATTATATGTTGTGGCAGGTTCATAAAAACAGGGCAAGCTCCTGAATTGATGAATGTTTATTAGTGAAAGTTACGCCGAGCCATCTTGACTTTAGTCGTCCGCGTCTGGGACAAACTGCTTCGAGGCTCATCTCTCGAAGCTCTCCACTCTTTCCACTTTAGCAGAGCCAACGCTGGAGAGGAGGAAATTACCAATCACGAGGAGCAGAGAGCTTTTTTGCGAAGAGAAACTTGTCCAACTTACATTTTCGTTTTTAACTAGAGAAGAGCGAATTGAGTCACTTCAACAACTTTGCAATAAGTACACGTAGATTGTGTACACGCTGCAAGTGTTTCTGCCGTCCGCACATCCGTCCACGTCACTTGTTGTCCAGGGGGTAGCAGCTGCGTGTGCGAGTTCCCTGATACGGAGCTGGTCGTAAATAAAACACGAATACGCTGCGGTCGGAAGTCTGACACGGATATGGGTCGTTGCGGGTCCGAATACGAGAGAGCCGGCAGCCCGAGCGTTACGATGTGTAACGCGCGAAGCAAATGCCCCCATCTTTTTCTTCTTTTTTATGGCCGCACACAGGCATATCTCGGATAAAACACGCGAGCGTTTTTGTTTTCATCCACCCGTGGAACGTGAACACCCAAGCGGTCCGGAAGGCCAGTTCTCGTTTATATTCATGCGAGGGTTTTACTTAAATCGACGCGTAACTTTAATTATACGAATATCTGTCGTCGTACTTGAATGACCGATTTTTTGAAGTATTTTTCGGCCAAAGTTGACTGCATTTCTCCATACGTATCCTATACGGATAAACGTATTTTCTGAATCAGGCTAAGGTGTTTTATGCGGTTATATTGATTGGATTTCTTAATTTAAGTCGAAGCCCCGAAACATTAGTGGAACCACTCGATGTACCTTAAGATCTGAAAGGCATTCATAAATATTCATAGGATAAAGTTTCGAGATTCAACAACCTCTTTGTCCTGAATTGGCTTTTATATATACAGCTAGGCTAACCCTGTCTCTGTAGCAACTTTTAGAGGCCCGTTCCTCTCAGCCATGGGTCGCGAGCGCGTTCGTAAAATGCGACCATGTAATGCTTGCATCGACGCTGCAGCGTTCGAACATGCACGATCCCAGGTGTCGTTTACAAGCGCGTGTCGGCATCTGTTTTTATACGCGCGGTAACAGAGCGTTGAAAAGATCGAAAGAAAAGCTTAAATAAATAAAAGTTCGTCTCGCGCTTTTAATGTCATATAAAAACGCCAAGAATGCTTTGCTTATGCGCCGAAAAAGTGAGAGAGAAGACGAGAGGAGAGGGGAAGTGAGAACGTTCAACTCTGATTGGAAGGATTAGTGGGTAGACCTAAAGCTAGCTTCCTTTGTCTCCACTGCACTCGTCGAAGGCGTTCGAATACGAGAGCCAAACGCCGGACGCTGGCGTTCCGGCTTCTAAAGCGTTCGACGAGTGAAGTGGAGGCAAAGGCTGCTTTTGTCTTTTTTGTTCTTGTCGTTTTCTTTCACGAATTTATATTTACTTCTTCCACCTTAGCGCCCTCGAGCAACGTGAAAAGGCATAATAACGGAAAACCAAAGCGCGATTAATGTATCTATCTATCTATTTTTTTTTTGTTTTTTTTTTGCCTGAGGCGTTTCTTAAACTTGAGAGCTACATGCCTATACATCTATAGGCTAAACCAGTCTCTGAACACACGCAGTTCCCATGCCGCATTTGATTTACTGCTCTGACTGCAACGCCTGACACTTATCAAAAGGGCTTCAGAGTTCGGAACGGGCTCTTCCCCAAACTCACGTCTGTCAATGAACACTTACAGGGTTGCTGCGACTCTGCCGATAAGGCATCCCACGTACACCCGCGCTGCGATACCACGGTCCTAAGGTCCTCCTTTTCGAGCCTTTCGCCCGGAAAAGACAATTGTCGACTTGCGAGCTTATCGTCCGCGCTACTCAAAGCGCTCCAAAGATTTCCCGCGAACGCCGGCAAATCTTTGGAAGCGCTTTCAGGCACATTTGTGGCAGGTCCGCATTCGTGGCAGGCGAGGGCTGGTTTTAGATAAAACTGCCGGGCCTCTAAAATCGTCAACACAATGACGGACCTTTGACGCCCGCATCCAATCGGAGCGCTCCGCGAACTTTCGGCTCCAACTTTGTGTTTGACGAGCTTAGGGCCCCTGAACAGTTTTTCACCGAAATGCATTGCTAAGCACTAAAAATATTAATAAAAAAATATTTTTTTTTACTTTGCGATGGCCCAGAGCGGACACTGCGCCTCATAAGGTCCTATCCAATGCCGCGTGTGGCTGTCACAAACTTTTGGAGGGGCGCGGTGACGCGCGGGTCGAGTAGTCACGTGACATATCCACAACTTCGGATTGGCTGGGACGGCTTGTAGCTTCCGTTGCGGTCTATCGTAAGGTGAAACAGTGTCAGTCCATGTCTTTAACTATTCCGCTCGTGACGGGACGTGTATTTGACATGGACACGGACTATACGAAGCGCGATAACAGCTATCAGAACCATATATACCTTCGGGGTTGGGAATAAGGCAGGCGTGAGTTCTTACCGCCGAATTCAGAAACCTCACTCAAACTACACTCAAACTGAAGGGCCCCTTCACTTCCTCGAGGAAGGCACGAGGGCCGGCGCTGGCCAATCGCGAGGACGGATCCGCCATCGCGATTGGCCAGCGCCGGCCCTCGCGCTTTCCTCGAGGAAGTGGAGGGACCCTTCAGTTTGAGTGTAGTTTGAGTGAGGTTTCTTAATTCGGCGGTAAATTCCTTGATCACTCAGTACTATATACCCCTTCCGAAAGTCACGTGCCGATTATTAGAATGTCGGAACCACTGTACACCCGCCGGCGATATGAAGGTGAACGCCGGATCGTCGACCGGTCGGTGCTATCAGCGCCATGAAGCGGCTGCCGTGGCGGCTCGCTTTCTTATCGCGCGCTTCGCTGAGATTAAATGCTTGGATCGAGCGCTTTTTTCAGATCTGCTGCTACTCCCCGCAGAAAGCGTGGAAATGGGATTCGGTTTCTGCATCTGTTTGTGGGCGTGGCTAACATCGTGTTAAGTGCGACGCGGTTGCTGACACATCACACAAATGAAACTATATTGTGTTGTTTTTAAAAAAGCGGAAAGTATAAGTTACTTTTTTATTTGTTCCGCAGCATTCCGGTTTAGCACATATCACAACAAAAAACTACTAAATCACACTGCCTACCGATAGCGTCTGAAATGCCCCTTCCGGAATCCTCGCGCTTTCTGCGGGGAGTAGCAGCAAAGGTGAGAACAGCGCTCGATCCAAGCGCTTAATCTTGGCGAAGCACGCGATAAGAAAGCAAGTCGCCGCAGCAGCTGCGTCATGGCGCTCATAGCATAGAGCAGTCGACGGTCCGGCGTTCACCTACATATCGCCGGCGGGTGTACAACTGACATCGTGGAAAGTGCAAGTCATTCCATAAGATAGCGAAGGTCGGGCCGCGGCCAATGCTAGGAGCCGACGAGCCAATCGAACAGTGTTGAAATTGCAACGTCACCTTTTTCTGTGGCTGTGTTTTGCCTTCTAATCCAAACAAACACACAAAGTGTGCCTTGACGTTGCGGTTTCAGTTCGCCATTGTTCAAAAGGTTTCCACAGCTGCCAACAGGGGACGGTCTTTCGAAAGGGGACTATCGAATGTTTCAACCAAGAGCGACAGTAGAAAGATTTGCGATAAGGTGCCCCAGTGCTCAGAAGCCCCCTATAGTCAGTGACAGGTTAAGGGAAACTTTTCCCGCACATTTCCGTTTTGACAGAGCGAACACTGGAGAGCAGGTCGCCTCCTCTCCGGCGTTGGCTCTGCTAAAGTGGAAAGGAGTGGGAGGAGTTTCCGCTGAAACTCGCCTCTCACCCACTATGCACGTTTGCAAGTACGGCATCAGGGCGCAGCCGTCTTGTTCGGTTGGGGTGCATTTGGGCAAGGTCATAATCCTAATATGACGCCTTAGCGAGGCTTTGTAACCGGATTATGACGCTTCCAAGGGCACCTTAACTGAGCAAGATGGAGGCGAGCTGAGAGCGCACTTGCAAACATGTATACACCAACTCATGTTTGGATGGATGGATGAACCCGGCTGAGCCCTTTGGATCGGGCGGTAGCTTGCTCCACCTAGCTATTTTGTTTTACCCTTTAAGCTTAGAATATTTAAATCTGAAAACTATATACACTACGCATTACAAAGAAAGTGAGGCTATAAAACCCCCTTGCCATCAGTTAATAAGAAAATACCTAGTTTTCTCTCGCTTTCTGCCACCATTCACTTAATCTTTGCTTGGTAATCTCTACAGTCTTGAAATCCACTCTCCCTTCGCTGTCTCTAAAACCCAATGACTTTATTCAATCTATGTTGTCGTCGGTAGGCATAGGGTGAAGCCCTTTACGGTAGAGTATCAAGCGCTCAACCGTCTCGTCCTCCTCTCCACAAGCAGTGCACACTGTATCCATTTCCTGGTACTTCGATCTGTATGCTCTGGTTCGCAGAACACCCGTCCTCGCCTCAAACAACAATGAGCTTCCCCTAGAATTGTCATAAATGCTTTCTTTGGCAATAACTGTTTTGTTTAATCTATAGCTTTTCAGAGCAGTCTTTGTCTGCATTCCCTGTAGCCACCGATCTCTTTCTGTGGCCTTAACTTTCTTCTTAACTGAGACCTGCTCTTCCGTAACTCCACTATAGCCTAAAAACTTTCCTCTTAATTTCCCAGTGCGCTGTCTCCACAAACAAACCGGAGCGCCCATAGCAGACGCCACCGGCGCCGCGCATGCGCGATGGGGGTGTGGGCAAGAAGCTCGCCGTCACCCATAAACAAACCATTGAAATGCGATGTTGTCGGCGTCGGTGTCAGTCCCCCTGCCCTTTTTGCGTTCGAATTGTTGATTCTACATCTTCCTGGCAACGTCACAAAGCCAACAGTGGCTTGTGTGACGCCGCCCAAAAAACGAGAAAAAAAAAAGAAACGGAGGTGGAATGTCCAAGAACACAGTCAGTAAAAAATTAGCACAAAGAAAGCAAAGAACGGGAAAGAAAATAATAATTTTCTTTCCCTGTAAACAAAATAACCATCACATTAAAGATGCACCTGTCTGTTGAGGCACAGGATGAGGCACAGGTTAATCAACACTAGCCACAAAATTAACAAACGCAATACACACATATATCAAGACGTTACAGATAACACAACGAGCTAAAATCAAAAGAAAACACAATCCTAGAAACGCAAACCATATTTATCCGCGTAGATGTCAAGATCAGGAAAAGAAAGCTCGTTATAAAGGTGCTGGATCCTAGACATTGGGGGGCATGGTATGGTGTATTTGGGTAAAATTGCAAAAGAAATCTACGAGTACGAAAAGGTACTTGAAAGTTCACAGATGATAAGAATGAAATACTTTCAATTCTACCACAGATGACCTTATGCAAAAACGACAAATCACGAATGGTACGCCGTTTACTTAGTTCTCGTAAGTTAAGATATTTAAGTAGTGATTCGTAACTATAATAACAACGACGATTAAAGTATCGTACGCAATTCGAACCAGACGCTCCTGGACTCTTTCAATTTCGTTGCAGTGATTCACAGAAAAGGAGTTCCACACTGCGGAACTGAATTGAAGTCTTGGTCGAACCAAGGAACAAAACAAAATGAACCAAACATCTGTAACTCGAAAACTCCCGCGTCATACGTGAAATCAGCCCCAGTACACGTAGGGAAGTACCCACCATTGAAGTGACTTGTTATTTGAATGAAAGACGGCTATCGACGATAACGCCAAAGTCACGCATGGTGGTCACACGCTGAGTCATTGTCGCATTCGGTAGCGTATATTGAAGAACAATCGGGTCGCGCCTTCTGGACAAAGAAATAACTGTTTTTTGTGTGTTAAGGAACAATAGATTAGATGAGCACCACACTGACACACGGTCCACATCCTGTTTTAGTAATAAACAATCGTCTAAGCCACGCACCGAGAAATAAATCTTGATGTCGTCTGCGAACAGTAGAATCTTAGTACTCTTGACAGCGGGAACAATATCATTTATAAAAATTAGAAAAAGGAGAGAGCCCAAATTTGAGCCCTGTGGAACGCTGACGTTCCACAGGATATTGACCGTGTGTCAGTGTGGTGCTCATCTAATCCACTGTTTAAAGGGATCATGAAACTCCAATTTGCAAAGCAGCCGTGCCAGAACGAATATAGAAGATAACAAAGCATAAAACATGCAACCATTAACTGTAAACCAATTTTTTGTTTTGTTTTCCTCCTTGGTTTGCAGATCGCCTAGATACGTAACGGACGACAGGAACTACATGAACACGAGGCCTCAGTCTCGTGGAGACCAAGACAAGCTTTCTGACACACGAAGCCGACACTTAGAAGATGGGCATCGGCGAAACCAAAGCCAAGACACACGACAGAGTCGCGACAGCACACTGGCCCTCCGCCCTGCGTCGCATTACGAGCTGCAAGACCGCCAACGAGTGCCTCTAGAGCCCTACGACCAGAGACGGCGAGAGAACCACAGCCGGGAAGCCGTCCACAAGGAGTATCCTCGCAAAGACCAGCCCAGAAGGGAAACCGCGTACCCAAACGATGACACCGCGGCTCAGATTGCGTACGAAGCGAAGCGTAGAAGCCCAGAGTACCAGGAGTACACGCCGGGAGTCAAAGAACCACGAAACGAGTACGGACGTCCTCTCCCGCTGTCCAGGACGTCCGTTGTCAACAGACAAGACTCGAGTCCCAGAAGCACCGGAGAGCCCCCGCAAGACTACAGCCCTAGGGGCCAGAGCCCGCCTGTCCAGTACGGAAACAGGCGTCCGGACTATCCGGGAACAACAGCTCAGCACGACCAGGACAGGAGGCGTCCGGAAAACGTGCAGAGTCATCAACGCGCACCGAGGACGGAGCCCAGGGAGTTTGAGTACGACAACAGGTCGAGGAGTGCTCAAGACAGTCCTCCAGGTCGAGATTTCGAGAGAAGCGAGTCGCGGCCAGGAAAGTACGCTGGCAGGGACAACTCCCGCGGCGCGTCTCTTCAGGGTTACGACTCCGATCCAGGATCAAGCCGCCAGGACGAATATAGGCGACCACGGTAAGCTGTTGTTCCGTTTCTGAACTGTCTAAACTGTAACGAAAGGTGTAGGGCACGCTTTACCTATTGCAAACCTGTAAGCAATGGAAAAGCAAATTGTACTCGGTTTTATTTTAAAGGGGTGATGAGACGATATCGGGTTGAAATGTTTATGGCTTTGCAGAAGCGTACTGGTTCTAACCTAGCCCAAGTATACTCGCACAGACCGCCACCGATTCAGGAGCTTTGTCGTGGTGAAATTGCGAGGATAAAAGGGGACTATGTTTTTAAAGTCTCGTCTTCACAAAGCTTGATGACATCACTGTGGGATCGAAACCACCCACCTGACGACAGTCGAACGTGGCTCATGGATTGGAAATCTGCGCGGGGACTGTACTTCGGCTCGTAACAATTAATGTTTCGGCGGCCATGCGGGTAGTGACTCGTGCCCAACTAGTGCCGTGATGAGAATAGCCGAACCTAGGGTGCCTCAATGTCCTTCTGTTTAGGGTGATGCCACCCTTTGTAGTACCCGATGCCGACAGCACGCGCTCACGGGTAAAATAAAAATAAATCGACGAAAACAAAATGTCGCCGTAGTACAGTCAGCGCCACGAGCGCGTGCAGGGACACGTTCTTTCACGCGCCTGTGAACAAAAAATAAAAATAAAAGTGTGAGACAAAATGGCCAGATGTCTCCACCCTAAGCATAGCGCACATGAAGGCACCCTAGCCGAACCCTAACAATGCCTGGAGCTCAGCACACGTTTCCCCCTTTGCCAATCCCAGCGCGGGGATATCATTAACGTTGGCGGCATGGGATAGACCCGTTGCTCTGGGGCAGGGGGCGCGAGCGTGTCCGGAAGACTTACGCAAGACGCGACCATGTTATGCTGGCTGCACCATCCGTGTGGCGCTGTAACGTTTGATTTTGCACGTGCCACGTTCGAATAGGGAGTATTCACTGGACGCCATATTTGTGGGTGCTGCTTAGAGCGCATGCTCAGAAGGAGCTCACATCAATAGGCTCTAAGACCGGCACTCTTGATGGTGCGGGTTGACGTTGCAAAAGAACTGTGCAAGCTCGCCGTCAGCACGCCCTCAGCATTCGCGCACACAGCTATGGCCGCCAGTGAATACTCCCATACAAGCATCTTTTAGCATCTGTAAATGCGGGGTAACAAAACGCCTAAAAAAATAATTATGCAGCTCGCGGCCGCAGCGTCCAATTAAACATTCCTTTCATCTTTGCTCTCTTTCATAGCTTCCGCGAGCACGTGTTTCACTTTACGTGATAAAGAAGCCGAAGATACTCGCAAAAGCACGTCCTCCTGAACGATGCTCGCACTGCACGAGCGCGCGTGCTTGGCATGGACGCTGAAAGCTCGCAGCTCGCTATTGTGGCTCTTGCTGCGCTGGCACTTAAAATGAAACAGAGTATAAGAAACTGCAGTGGGGACGCGTATTGACGCATGTTCGAAACGCGAGCCAAATATTCTATTTTGCTTGCCTGGAGCGCTGTTCAAAACTTGAGAGAGTATTCACTGGCGGCCATATCCGTGTGCGCTGCTGCTGAGCGCGTGCTGACGGCGAGCTTCCGCAGTCCCTTTGGAGCGTGCATTTAGCACCATCAAGGTTGCCGGTCTTAGCAGGCTATCAATGTGAGCTCGTTCTGAGCATGCGCTCTAAACATTACCCACAAATATGGCGTCTAGTGAATACCTCCTATAGGCACCAGGTCACGTGGCCACTTGCTCTCGCTCCGAGTTGAGGGGATGAACGATGCTCCTATTTATCGAATTGTATTGGCGGCTGCCATTGCCTGGAAAGATAAACTAAGGCAAGTTTATTCACTTATTGACGTTGGGAAGTGATTCTGAGTACAATTAAGCAAAAATAGAAAAAATCGTTTCATGACCCCTTTGTTAGCATAGCAGAAGCCACAAGCGCGGGCTCCGGGCTTTCAGCGTCCCTGCCAAGCATGCGCTCGTGCAATGCAAGCATCGTTTAGGCACCGCCTCCGATATAAGTTACACTGTCCCTGTGGACTCCGAACAGTGGCAAGCGGAAGGAAGACATGCAAATAGTACGTTTGGCTGCCGTGCGGTGGAGTCAGGGAAGCGTTCGCCAAACTGGGCGGGCGGTGAAGCCCAACGCAAGCTGCCAAGCAACTGGCCAACCATCAACTGGCAAACCTCGTTTCGTCTCCACTTCGCGTAAGCTCCTCGGATTCGCTGAGGTGCTTGACTCTTCTGCAGAAAGATGCTCGGAAATGCTGGACTAGCAGCCATTTACTGAAGATAAACCTCTTCCTCTTCCACACCCATTAGTTCCGAGATATGAAACTAATGGGTGTGGAATACGATCTTCAGCAAATGGTTGTTAGTCCAGCAGTGTGCTTGTCTTCTTTTTTTCTCTCTCTCTCTCTCTCTTCGTGTATCTTCCTACGTTTAGCTGGCATCTTTCAGAAGCATGAATCATCAACTAGCTCAGTATCAATGAAAAAACGGTTAAAGTGCACGCGAGCTGGTGTAAGTTATACATGAGGATTGAAACCTTAGACTGTGGTTCGAAAAACGGAAACTCGTAAAGTGGGAAGAAAAAGGGACAGACAACGTCTCAAACTCAGTATTGTTTACGGTTCGGTGTATTGTGATTCTGGTATATTGCTTGCAGTTCGGTGATCAACCGTCATGGTGGTGGCGACGTCCGGGGGTGGTGTATATAGAAGGTTAACGCCCTTCATTTCTGTGAAAGCTTTACACGATAGGATAGAAGCGCCGAAGGACAGGGGCAATGGGAAGGTAACGACAACACGGAGCGCTCCGTGTTATCGTTATCTTCTTCACTTTTTCCCAGACCTTCCGCGCTTCTATCCAGTAATGAACCAACTAACCCAACGGAACATTTTGAAGCTTTAGACGAACAGAGGAATTGTAGTTCAATCACCATAAGATGTTGCGAAACAAGGATCTATGCTTCTCTTCTGTAATTCTATACTATGTTATAAAAAAAAAAAAAAAATGTCCCGAAGAAAACTGGAAGCTTCCTTTCGTTTGTATAATTGGAAGTTCAATCTTCCCGAATCCTCTGAACGGCAGTCGAAGAGTCCACACTATGGAACGAAAGCTAGACGTGTTCGAAGACCTGGTCCCCGAAGAAGCTCGGTCTCTTTCCAAAGCTTCAGTTACCGTTGTAATGCCTTTCAAATGACTCCTGTTCTAGAGTACCTCCTACCTATGGTACTTCTGTGTTGCGTTTTTGTTTTGTTTTGTTTTTTTGCTGCTTAACAATAAATTCCTTACGAAAGTCTGCCCTCTGGAAGATGTGGAACCCCTGCACAATGGCGGACACAGATAACACATCACAGACGACGGTACGAGACGATGGATGCAAACACGCACTGACAAAAACGCCACGTCACGGCGCTGGTTGTCTGTCAGTGCGTAGGTTATCATTGGCAAACCCAGACGTAAGGTAATTCAACTGCACTACTTTTTTAAAATAATTTAGGAAGTTTCAATTATTTTTTTATTTCAGTAATTAATAGCCTACTTTAACTGCATTTCCCGAGTAATTTCTGCTAATGTCACAAAGTACATTCTACATTAGTAGTTTTTTTAATTATCAACAAACATTTAGCACTATAAAAAAAAAAGGATATCGGAAGGGCAGCTGGTATTCGCAAAGGATGGATAGATCTAAAGCCAAGGCAATCCAAAGGGAAAAGTGTCTTTTCAGAACCCCAAAGACAGTTAAAACCGGACTCCAACCGGCGGGCACGCATTGCTAAAAAAAAAAAAAAAAAAAGGGGGCTTGTCTCTCCCCGTAGACATCTCTCCCCAATTACACGCATCATACATCCTCACCCAAAGAAGGCAACAAAATGCAGCAACGGCTATGAAGCTGGTGCGCACGGTGCTGTTCGATTTTGCGCTATACAATAGACATCTCCATTGTTTTGTGCTGTACTTAAAAAATCGCGCTCGATTTCTTTTTTAGTTGAGTTTGAGGTTTTTGTTTTCCTGTAGGGAAAACTGGAGAGACGGGATGGACTGAGGGCTTCTTTTAGAGAAGCAGTGTTCGAGAAAAATATTAGTGGTGGCGAGGAAAGAGGGGAAGCCGGAGGGAACAAGCCGGTAGCTGCGCGGGAGAGCCAAGTGATATATTTAGGTTGGCCTTGCGCGCCCAGAATTAAGAATATGCAAGTCTTCCAGGCTTCGACTTTTACAAAAAGGAAATAACAAACAATCAAGCAGAGTGCCTGCAAAACCAAAGTCATACAGAGCAAAACCTCAAAGTAGAAACGAGAAACATCCACAGCGTACGCCCCCCCCCCCCCAAAAAAAACAACAAAAAAACACATTGTTTGTCATACAACAAACAAAACACACACCTACACAAAAGAACAAAGGCATGCGAAGCAGAACCTACTGACAAAGTAACTTCGAAAGCAATGCAGAGCGCAAAGTATTGTTTCTTTTGTTTTGTGAAGAGAAAAAAGAAACTCGCGTTTTGAACAACATACCAAAGCCCGTTGGAAATTTTTATATTGTTGTCTCGCGACCTAAGCGCTTACATTTCTTCTAGAATTTACAATATTTGTTATTTCGTCAATGAAGACTGATGTTAGAACGTGTTGCAGAAATCAATAATGCTCGCAAAGTCTTGCAACTCCACAAGCTTCTGGAGCGATTCGTGGTCGTGTGTACGTACAGTCGGGTTCATTGTCAGGCCAAAGGTTCAGCTTCACAAATGGTATTGATGTGAGCGAGCACTTGTGATCAAGGACGCGCGGCCATGAAACGAATTTTGGGTTGGGATGAATGGTTTTAAATTGGGACTTTACTAATCGCATATCGTTTAGTTGGCCAAAAGAAAGAGGCTAGAAAGTCAAAAGCCAGCTTTTCGGTACGAACATTTGAAAATATAGCGGACTATTTTGTACCATCTTTCCTTCGAAAGCTCTCCGCCTTTTCACTATGATACATCCGCGGTTCCCCATGCGCGTCACCGGCGCCAACCTGACGTCAGCCGAGCCCATCTCACGCATTGGACACGAGAACTGCGTCACTCGGACGTATGCGCTCGTCAACAATCAATCCGTCGACAAATATTCGGATTCGTGTTCGTGGCCAATGAGTGCCCTGGCGGAACTTATCGTCACTGGGGAATGACAAGTTCTATGGTGTACATAAAAAGCACGGTGGAAGCTAGGAGTCATCGCACCGGAATATTGTAATTTCTGTTCGCCTTATCACGAACCGCAGCAAACGGTCCGAAAATGCCATCAAAACCAATCTAATGACGCGTGAGTATGCCGTGACTTTCGAGAAGGGCGCAACGGCAACCGGGGAACGTAGTCACGTGTTACGATCGCAGCGTTAGATTGGCTGGAATGGCTCAGGCTGCGGTCCATCGTAACGTGAAACAAAGTATAGAGTCGCCCAGGCACCGAATCTCACGTTCCTAGAACTCAAACCCGTGCATGTAGGGAACGACACTTCCAACGTCCCATGTTCGCGCCCGCGGTCTCACAGGTCGGTGTCCCCGCAATCGCTCAGCCCGGGCCACTACCTCCGCAACGGTACGGGCAACCGCAAGCCGCGGCCCGTGTCCGCCTACAACGCCCGAGACAGCGGCCGCTTCGACTACGGACCGGGTCCCCTGGGCTACGAGGTCTCGTCGCCGAACCAGCGAGCCCGGAGCCCCGTGGCGGACGACGAAGGGTCGATGAGCCTGAGGCGCGATGACAGCATCGTCAGGCAGATCTCCCCTCGTTACGACTCCAACATCGGCGGGGGACTGAGGACCGGCCCACCGCCCGTCGGAGGCGTCCCCGCCATTGGGCCTGCCAGCATCCGACGAGGTGACGTTCTGAACTTGGACAGGTCTTGAGGCCTCGGCTAGACCAACGCCACCTAGAATAATCAGGGCCTGCGAACATCCTCCCCTTCCCCTATGAAACGTCGTCACAGCCGCATGGTGCTGACTCATCAATTGGACCCGAGCTTGGTACCGAGCGTCTTTAGACGCGTTCATTGGACACGAGGTCATGCCGAACGCTGACGTCGTACTCGTGTCCAATCAGCGTCGTCGCTCGATCTCACTCTGCTGACGGCAAAATTCTAGTGCACAGGCTTTGGTTACTCTAAGATGTGATATTCGGCTATAGACCCGCCGTATGGATGTGTCAACTAATCACACAAATTAAACATATAGCGCAGCTCAGCTACACCTAATAAGCGTGATTATCGAGCCTTTCCCGATAGCGAAGTCTGCAGATCCCTTTAAGTTTCAAACTAAAATGGCAGAAAGATCCATTGGTGGATTCGTGAAGAATGCGTTAGCATGACCCGTAGCCTCCTTCACGACCCTTGGGAAGGGCCACACATCCCCCTTTGGGAATCGCTAACGCTGCCCCTTCACTTTTCTATTTTGGCTTTCTCTTTTCCTTCCTCTATTTTTGCTGCCTCTTTTTGGCCTCGTTATGGGGTCAGTGTTATCGTTTCCCAAAGAAGGACGTGTGTGGCGTTTCCCAAGGGCCATGCTAGCGTATCCCCCAAGAATGCACCAATGGATCTCCCTGTCATTTTTTTCACCCCTTTTCTGTACTCTGCCTGTCAGAATCCGTAGATGTCCTTGGATGCGGTGGTCCATACTACTCGTGGAAAGAACCACATTCATACCACTCGTGAAAGGGACCGCATCCATATCACTTGTGGAGGGAACCAAAATCATCGTTTTAACTACACACAGATAACGGTCCACGCACCGCTACTACGGAAACACAGCGAAGAACAACCGGCGACGACAGAGCGGCAACTGAGCACGCCCGCATTCCACCTTGCCGCGGCGCGTCCTACTAGCTGGCTCCGTGCCAACTGTGCACGTGACTGGCGAAAACGAAAGGGCTCGTTTTGACGAAAACCCGGTGGTGTCTGTCAGTATGTCAGCACCGGAGAGAGAGAGAGAGGTTGACGCGTGCTGACGTCAGCGGTTCGGGCGAATGGGAGCGTCCCACGCGTCACCCTCTCCACTTGCTTCTCCCCCTCTTCCCGACGCTGACAAACGAAAGACACCGCCGGGTTTTTGTCAAAACACACGTTCTTATGCAAACACACAAAAAAAACTACGGCTACACGCAATTGGTCAGGATGTCGTAGTCTATCATGTAAACTAACCAGTTTTATTTTGAAAATTTTATTGCAATATGTATGCTCTCAGATCAGCATTTACTAAGTACTGTATTCTCCGGTCTATAGCCCGCGGACAATACAGGAGTTTTGATTTTCAGTATTGCTCATTATGACAATACGTGGCGGATTTCGTTAATGAAAGAGTATGTTAATGATTAGTAACTTATAATACCAGCTTCTTTGTGACTTAAGAAAGCAGATATTTGTCAAGGTGAACCGTGTATGAGAAGATTTTCGTGTCGACTAAGCACCAGGTGCGGAATATGCACGGCGTGCGGACTATACACCGGCTGCGGACTACAGCCCGGAAAACACGTTATTTTTTTACATTTCTTTTTTTTTTTTTTTTTTTTTTATTTTGTTCAAATACTGAACGTGCTTTACACTCCTCCTTGGAGGAGTGTTCTGCCCCAACACGAGGCTGTGGTGCGGCGAAGCGACATACGCAGAATCGCGATTTCCGCTCCGTGGGCGTAGCTTCTTTGCAGCACTCCTGCGTGCTGGGAGAAGCGCACTCAATGGAGGTAATTAAACAGCCCGAACAGACCACGAACAATGAGGAATGCCGCGACCGTCCGAGTACCGAGTCGTGTTCGACGCGAAGTTCAACAGCATCGTATGTTATCTGAAGCAATAGCCGAACGTTCCGAAAATTCACTGAAGCTTAATGTAACAATCCGGTAATGCAGCAACGTCTGGACTGTGTGTCTGCATTGAAAACTGGAGCGAACTTTTGGCACAATAGGGACGCAAGTTCCTTACGTTTCGATTAAATATAGCTATAGCTGTGCCATCTGCACTTTGGTGCAGATGGCGCAGCAATCACATCAATGGAATCGGCAAATAGTGTTGAGGCTTTCGTAAAGTTGAAATACTTGTGACAATACTACAAGCAACCCTTCCTCGTAGATAGTGAGTAGATTTGATATACTGGATAGATAAGCCTTCAGTTTAGTTGCATATCTAAAATGGGTTTCAGGGCCACCCGATGGATGGCACCAGTGTGCGCTCTTGTCCAGAGCCGTGTATCGGGAGAGTTTGGCAGTTTGTGTTCTCGCCGCCGTAACGCCCCCCTCCCAAGTGAGCCAATCAGCCTCCAGCGCAGGGTGAGAGGCGCGAGCGGCGCGTGAGCTCCCGACCAGGGTGTAAGATAGACAGGTGGGGAAACGAGAGCCAAATGAGCGACCGGATTGTGTCCCTCTCGGTTTTCTCTTTTTCTGTGGCGCCATCTATGTGGAGCTCCGCGAACTCTCACTCCGGGTGGGCGACCGGTGGCGACCGGCTAAACTGACCGAGATGGTTTCTCGTGAAATTTTATTGGAGGACTTTTGGGCTCTCGGTTTATTTTGCGCGCTCTCCCATAAATTTACATGCAAATCCGATTCCGATGTTTTTCCTGTCGCCGCAGCGCCATCTGTCGCAAATCGGTGGTACCCGCAAGCAGACGAGTACACAATCCGGTCACGGCGCTGTGCTAGGCTTCTACGGGCCGTTTCCCCACCTGTCTATCTTACACCCTGCTCCCGACTGCTCGCAGCTGTGCGGGGAGGGCCTCCATTTTCATTCATTCGACTGGTGGAATGCATGGGACCGACATCCAAATTTCGCTTCTTTCCTTTTATTTCACTGGCTCTGGCAGGAAAATGATATAGTGTTATTCCTCTGTGGGTTAAAAAAGCTAAAGAATGAAGTTTTTTCGACGTTTGAGCGCAAAGTTTTATTCGGGCGAAAAAGAAGTCGGCCCATAGCAGACGACACATAGCCTCAACAGCGCTCTGCGCCGAAAGCGTGTTGCGTCAAAATGGCGGTCGTTTCCTCTTTGCTCCCTCCTTCCTCTCTCACTCCTTCGGCACTCTCCCCCTTTCTTCACTTTTCTCCTCTCCAGCCTCTTCGTCGCCACGCCTTACTGGCCAGACTCTCCCAAATATACGGTTCTGCTCTCGTCGTAAAGTGTGCTCTTGCAACACAGCCGGTCACGCTCAAACGCAAACGTATAGACCGGCCTTCACTCACATTGCTTTACTGTTGGAAACGACGTGCAATCTTTCTGGATTGTGCAGTCCGCGCGCACTCGGCATACCCGAGATCACTATCAAGGCACAAACCACAGAACTACACCGAGGTTCTAACGAAACAGCGACTTTCATTTTGTCGTGCCTTCCGCGTTACCTTTAGGTTCCAAACAATCACTCAATCGTCTTTTATTGTGACCCGAGATAGCTGGTAGACCTCAATAAGGGTGCACATACACGTGGCAAAAACAAATATATATATATATATATATACTGTAAAACCCTTAATGTTCGCCAGCCCTCAATTTTCGCGAACTTCACGAATTGCAGAATTCGCGAACTTTAACGGCGCGCGAAAATTTCGGTCCTCAAGATTTTCAATGCAAGCGTCTGGAATTCGCGAAATTTAGTGGTCGCGATTATGTCATCTGTGACCGATTCGCGAAAAATAGGGGCCGCGAAAATAAAGGGTTTTACAGTATATAACTAGCATGGAAACATGAGAAGTACCCTTAAATTTCAATTAAGAAGTCTACGTCGGAGTTATTGTGTTGTGTACAGTCCTCGTCAAACTTATACGGAACACTTGTGGAATGTAGAATGCAGAAAAAAGATAAAATATCAGAGAACTACCCATATTTATGTGAACTGAAGGTATGCTAAGGATATAGTGGGAAACAAAGAGAAATAGCTTAGGGCTAGCGCGAGCTGTGCACGCACACATAGAAAAAAAATAAAATAGAACAAGCCAAAAGGAGGCTTAGCATCTGTTCCAGATAAGTTTGCTGAGCACTGTACATAAGCTGCATGCGTGTCAGTGGAGGGCCAGGTTCTCAGTAAAAAGAATCTTAAAAGAATTTGCGGATCTATTTTGTCGTTAGGGAGCATGGAATTAGATTCCACTTAGCAACAGGAGAGAGTCTATTGGGCAGTTATTGATTCATAATCCGGACGTTGCGACTTTGATCCCACTCTCGTTTCAGTACCACCGAGGAACCTGCAGTACTACTAACTCCATAGGGACCTGCAGATCCTGCTGGGTGGAGTAAGACTACTGCTGTCCGGGCTTCTTTTCCAATTTGCCGAGGTTGGGCTTCCCGCGTTTTGACAAGATGGGTTCAGTACCAGTAATCAGCTCGTCTATCTCGAATGAGCTTTGCATGCTGTTGTTTAGACATGATACTTTGACTAGTTTTACTAACCAGATTTGTGAGGGAGAACAAGTATCAGCTGCTCTGCCTTCAAGTTGATGTTCTGGACTTCAAAGTTTTTAACCACTAAAAGATGTAAAAGAAAAAAATGCTGTTTTAAATAAGGCAATTTGAAATGTTTCAGTTTTTGTTGGAAATAAAGCTGGGAAAATTTTACAAAAAATATGTTTAATATTATGAAGTCAGATACATGCAAGATTAAAAGGCTAATTGGAATGATTATGCCATTATGAACAGTCTGTAATAAAATTCAACTAGTTGGCAAGCAAACTCTGCATGCACTGGTATAGTAACATATGCACGGAAAAATTGCATGGTGTACTGAATGAAGATGTTTGATGGCTAGTGTTTGAATATGTTCAAGGAACATATTCAACAATCAAGTTCCTTTTTTGCTGCTCTTGCAGTCTTTCGTTCATGATACTGTTTTTGTACGGGAAGTTGCATGTTGCCAGACAAAGAGAAATTCTACCAATCTTGATGGACTTCCCTGTCTGGCAATGCTGCCCCCTTGCTTCATACTCAGTATTTTAAGGCTCGTGGAACATACCGCCAAAATTGGCGGAATCCCGCACCAGTCTGGTAATATTGTGTGAGGCTGCACTGATCTGGAGGTAAAGATCTACTTTAATGTTTGTTTGGCAGAAATGAGCGAAATCTAGTTTTGTGCATGCTTATATCTATTTTCAGGCATAGCAAGGTTTAAAAGCTCGCAATATTGACTACCTGATTCATTCTAATTATTTTCTTTGGGAGATCAGAGGTAGCAAGTTGATTTAGTTAAGGAATTAGAAAAATACAAATAAAAATAAACACGAATTACCTGTACATATTGCATCCCAACAGATGTTTTTATAAAGAATATTTATTCTGATTAATGTCCCTTACATTTTTACACTTGCTTTATCATCAAACTCTGATATGGAAATGTGTATATACATAACGAAAATATATTTATTCATTTTTTATGTAAAAGTGCAACGCACTTATTCACAGGGACATAGGAAATGAGATTCATTCCACACTAATAATAAAAACATGCACCAAAAGCCAAGATTAAAAAGTGACACAGGGCCAGTTTTCTCAAGAGCAATGAATCCGAAATAAGAAGTGTGTTCAGCCTCATTGTGTATGCTTACAATGAGAGCAATCATAAATGACAGTCACCATAGCACTCATATCCATTATGACAAAACTGGCTGGGCAGTGCTAGGCTAAGAAGGTTAAAAAAAACACTGCAGTGAATTTTTAGTTTTCATTTAACAATGAATATTCCTAGACAGTATTTTTTCAAGAGTACACTCCAATTTTAATGTTAACAAACACAGGCAGAGCAGATCGCTTTGAGGACTTGGGCTAGCTGTGTAGTTAATGCTAAGAGCATGAACTCCGTGTTAATGAAGTACTTTCCTAAACAGCCATACGAATGCGACATAAAAAAGTGTCCTTCCGGTGTTTACAAGAAGAAAAAGCTGTGGAGACTTTGTTTCCTTTTCATTGTGAAATGAGACCACAATGAAAAGTTGAAGTAGATTAATACACTCGCTTGACACAAAGCACTATTCTACAATTTCGTAAAAAAATGCCCTGGTTTTATAAGCATCTTTTGAAGTACAGAGCACATGCACTATAAACACAAAGTTTAAAATGGTCTGCAGTGTCCATTTACCAATGCAAACACTTTAAATAAAAGCTCTGTTAACCACCACCTCTAAAACTAAACGAACTCGTAAAGTATGTCGCAAGAGCACCATCTTTTGCAATAGCATGATCTGCGTATAGTAGGAAAAGAACACAACCTAACAAAATATGCCATCTTCAATATCAAAGTGACAGCTCAGATGAGCATCACATGACAGCTCAGATGAGTCCTCGAGTTCAACTCGGCAATTACACAATTTTTCAACATCCTGACGCTTTTCGGATTAAACTCGTTTTAATGGGTGCATTATTGAAAACACCGAAGAGACTGAATAATGTTATATTTTAGCCCATTAAGCAAATTTTAAGTTGATAGAGTGCTAAAAATGTTAGCAGTATTCAAAAAATTTACAATACACTAGTAAGCAGTTAGGTAGCTAGTACCTGAACTGTTTTAGAGATTTAATGAAACAATGAACAGGTGTTCATGTATGTGAAATCATATTATGAGTAGAAACAAATGATTTGATTATAGATCAAGCGGCACAACCACCATTGCCACAGTCTCACTTTACACATATGTAAAAATGTTGCAGATATAAACACGGAGAAACACTTTCATATCCACGTAAAAAACATTTCCAGGCACTCCTAGCCTCAAACATGCGATAAGGCATACGAAATAAAACGCCACAGTTTGGACGGAATCTTTTCATGTCACAAAAACTGATTTGTGACAAAGGGCTTTGTACAAGACACATAACAAATCAGCTGCAACATGCTTTTCTTCACTCTGGACTCTAAGCCACAAAAACTCTCACTATGTAAAAGTGTAAAAAAAAAAATCGGGGCCCCTTATACACTTTAGGCAATGTAAAACTTGTCTCAAACAATGTGCAAGACACGTTGCCCTAACACTAGTTATGGTATCTAATGAAGTACTCCATCAAATGGCTAGGCAGATACACCGAGTATAGCAATGCAGTAAAGTGATCAGAATGAGATTCTCAATGAGACATAAAATTGCCTCGGCACATGAAAGCCACGCAAAAATGCTAAAAAGATGCTAAAGTCCAATGCAAATGACAGACTTAACTGCTATGTCAACAACTCCCTTATCTGGCTGAACAATGTCACAATCTTAGATCAAGAATGAATCTTCGTAATTGTAAAGATCTCTGGAATGTGACTTGAAAACAGCAGCACTTTTGCACTAAACTTGGAAAAACTACAAAAAATATGCATTTGTGCAGAAGGTCGATTAAATTCAGCCTCTGAACTTTCGAATTTGCCTGACGTCGTTGGTAAAGCTGCACCTCAATTTCAGCACTGTAATCACAATCTATCATTTTTCTCGATTTCGAGTGGTAAGCCTTGAAATGGTTGAAACCGTTTTCTGAGAATCACAAGTTCAAGCTAAACATAACTTACCTACACAGATGAAATCTTGATCCCTTGAACCCTAACCGGCGACAGCCTCAGGATGCACTTAAAATATTCAGCGCTGGAAAAGTTACCGAAAACTGTGCCCCATAAAAAGCACGAAGGGTGCTGCGCTTAGATGCTTCGCCAATAATCCGGAGGTCTGCGCGTCGCTTTCAGACCGACGGAAAGTAAAAACTCACACAGCCGGGTTTCGGAAACCCAGTGCAAAGTTGAACAACACGGACGGAAACTCGCCAAACATTGAACGAGTCTGAATGCTCAGGCAGAGGCTGTTGACAGGGAGTACTTGGCGCTTGTTGTCGACTGGAAACTGATGTTGTGCGGCGTGGCACTGTGAGAGTTCTTCATAGAGTCGATGGAATGGTGGGACACGGAGCGTGATGCGTTGAGGCTGCTGAGAGTTCCGAGCTACAAGGAAAGATTGAATTTGCCATTTAGAAAGGGAGTTGTAAGCACAGAAGGCTCAGAAAGAAGACAGCTGGCTAAGCCTCTTGCCTCTGCAGTAACATTGTCTCTCCTGCACCGCAGTCTGCTACAAATTTTTTTGTGACAGGGTTGCCCTCCATCACCCTTGCAGTAGAGGATCATTAAAAATGACTGCATGGTTCACGGCTGGGAAAAATTTTAATGTGGGATCACTTCTTTCAGAAAGTGATTCGGATTTTTACTTGGTTGTTTTCAACTCGATTTTCTGTTTAATTAACACCCTTCACTGATTTGTCACCCATGCATTATTCACAACTGAGTTCTTTAACATTAATACCACGCTGTACCTGCTACGTTGCATTGGCACTGCAGGTTCTTTTTCTAAATAAAAGTAAATAAATGACAAATGGCTAAAATGTAGTGCTAATTTAAATAATAGGTATATACAGAGGAGGCATACGTCTAAACGGCCAATATCAGGCACTTCTTGCCAACGAAAGAAATGCGGCTTGTCACAGTCATTGCCGCTGTCACTCTTGAGCATCAATCAGAAAATGAGCATGCAAAATAAGTTGTCTGTGTAAAGCTGGCATGTTTCAATGTGTGGAGGGTGGCCCCAGACACTTGAGCACATTGCGAATAGTTTTCATTTAGTTTTCGAGGGAAACTACTTTTAAAATCATAATTATTAAGACCTGTGTTCGGTTCAATCTGAAGAACAGGGGATTACTACAAAAGAATGTCTCCAGAAGAGCTAACTAAAATTGACTCGCAGAATCATTTACATGATACAGTCACAGTCACCCTCTCACTTCTCGCTTCCATATTATTCACAATGTAGAATGTGAAGATGTAAAAGTACAAATGTTGATACAAATACTGTTGGCTCTCAGTAATTCAATGGCATTTTAATCAAACATGTGCATTTGCATGCATCGACCCTGTAACTATGCTGATACACGCCGAACATGCAACCAATAATGTTTCGATCGATTGCCGCGGCCATACTGTAATGACATGGCACGGCGTGCGTGTTGCCTTTTGTTTGTTGCCTTTTTCTCAGTGAAAAAAGTGAAAAGTGTAACCAAGTTGAAGCACCACACGGTGCTTGTGTCATCAAAAGCAGTTAAGGGAAAGAACTCCATTGAGACGCTCCGTTCGAAAAAAAGACTGGTGTCGGCAAGCAGACCGTGGTTTGCGGTTTGATTTCGAATGATGAAATCAAGCAAGTCCCTAGGCCTAATGTATGGTGCAGAAAAAGGGATGATTAAGACGAGGAAGCGTCGGGTCGCCCTTTCTTAATTGCTGGTGGTGCGGAAATGCATCCGCTGTTGCAGAGCACTTCCTTCAATGTAGAGGAAGCCAGTGATCATCATTATCATCATCGTTTATCATTCTTGAAGGCCCTTACCAGCATTACACAAGAGAGAGGTAATATTTTTAACATTTTTTTCAACTGAACATTTTGCAAGCAATTTTAACACAGTAGAAGAAGGAATTAGGTAGTCGGATAAGGCAGAAGTGAAAGTGGGTGCAGAGGCAGCAAATTTATGTGCGTCAGTTATGGTAACATTGCCGTTTGGTAGTATGTTCCAATCGCTGACGGCCAACGGTAAAGTTGAGTTACTGTATGAAGAAGTTGACGGCAAAAATGGACCAGAACTTACAGGAGTGTTCAAAGTAGGGTATGTTCATTATATGCTCGTGATTGGCAGGGTTTGCACAGTGTGGCCGTGTGTGACAAGACAATGTCAGACTTCCTCTCTAAACGTCTGAGTTCCTCGCTGAATTTGACTCGTTTCAGCGTCGACATCAACGTCGAATTACCGAGAGTACGCACTCACCCTCTCGTGTCACTTTGAGATGATGACTCATCGCATGTGGGCATACCTCGGCAAACCTCACTCATGAGGGCCCTCACTCACCCTCACTCACCCTCATCTTCACAGGTGAGGTGAGGGTGAGTGAGTTTCGGAACCAGGAAAATTCATGAGTGTGAGGGTGAGTGAGGGCCGTGAGGGCTGTGAGGGTGGTGAGGGCCGTGAGGGTGGTGAGGGCCGTGAGGGCGGTGAGGGCGGTGAGGGGTATGAGGGCGGTGAGTGGCGTGAGGGTCATGAGTGCGTGAGTGGTGTGAGGGTGGTGAGTGAGTGAGGGCCGTGAGGGCCGTGAGGGCAGTGAGGGCATGAGGTGTGCGAGGGCCATGAGTGCATGAGGGCGGTGAGTGCGTGAGGCGCCCTTCAGATCGAGCATCTTTCTCAGCAATTTTGGTGTTAATGGCGGGTTGTTCTCTAGCTTTCCCTAGATCGACACGAATTGCCGAAATCGGGTCCGACTCGAAATAAACAAGCAACTCGGAGCAATTCAAATACGTTTGCAGCGGCTACATCCAATCAGGGACGCAAAATTTTCACGTGATACCTCGTGCCGGTGATGATGACACCGAAAGACTTGGTTCTGGTTTGAAATCTATCGTTCTTTTTAAAATAAACTGTTTCAGAAAGGTGCATTAGTATTCTTAACGAGATTTAAATGCATAAAAACATGTTTATAACGCGTAATTGTGTATAAATAGTGCAAGAAAAATAAAATTTTATGATGACGATGGCAAATTGCAGCAATTGGTTGCTGCGTGTGATCGCGGGCGGCCCGTGTTGCTGGTGTTGCGACGTAAAGTTTCTGGGCGAAATTGCCCCATCTGAAGCTGGCCTGAGTGGCGTGAGGGCCATGAGTGCGTGAGGAGTGTGAGGGCCGCAAGGGCGGTGAGTGTCGTGAGGGCGGTGAGTGGCGTGAGGGCGGTGAGTGGCGTGAGGGCGGTGAGTGGCGTGAGGGCCGTGAGGGCGGTGAGTGGCGTGAGGGCTATGAGTGCGTGAGGGCCGTGAGGGCGGTGAGTGGCGTGAGGGCGGTGAGGGCGTTGGGGGCCGTGAGGGTGGTGAGGGCCGTGAGGGCGGTGAGTGCGTGAGGGCCGTGAGGTTCAGTGAGGGTGAGTGAAGGGCTGAAGGTGAGTGTGACTGTGAGGGTGAGGATGAGTGAGGGGCTGAAGGTGAGTGTAGCTGTGAGGGTGAGTGAGGGGCTTAGGTGAGTGTGGCTGTGAGGGTGAGGGTGAGCGAGGGCGACCTAAAATGCCGACCTCTGCATGTGGGTGACAGTAGCAGTAATTGAGCTGTGCGTGCCACCAATCCACACAATTAAGCGGCAGTTGGGGAAACACATAGCGGAATTAAATTGACCAATCCGACAATCTGCCTACCGTGAACGCTGATTCCATTGCAGCAATTAGTTAAAAAAAGGACAAAACACGAAAGCACTCTTTAGATACGATCAAGGCTTACAGAAGTGCAACGAAGGTCAGAACAAGTAGTGCATCAGCTTGTCTCAGCGGCAACACAATTGCTGGATGATCTTTCGGACTTGATGTGGATCGTGCAAAACCCAAAACGTTTAGGTAGACCGGCAAACGTAATTTAGCTGGTTAGATCACCGCTGTCGAGATCCGGTAACCCTTTTGCTTGCTTGCCCATTTTTTGCTCTCAAGTTTGATGGAAATATCAAATTCACACGCCACTTCCACCTGGTATCAGCCGTATTAGACTTGTTTGCTGATCACGGCGTTCTACTACTTCTCAGTTCTACTTCTCAGTGTGGTGTGTTTACCACGTTTTGTAAGAAATTTCCAGTGTTGGGTTATGTATGCCTAAAAAGTGCTTGAAGTGAAGTATAAAGTAAACAAGATGTTATGTACTTCCAAGTAAAGTGGTAAGTACGCTGGGCACAATAGACTTGAAGTAAAGTACTCTAAATACAATCTAGTGAGAGCTACAAAGTAGCTCTCACAATGTGCTTTTATTGTCCTATACGGTGTTTTTTTTTATAATCTAGTATGTATTGCCTTAGGGGTGGTCGGGGGTGAATCAGTTATTTTCGGAAATGGTGGCAAATATTGGAGGAAGTTAACTGTCCACAGAGTAGTAGTAATTTTCTGAAATGGGCGCCAAATTCGGAAGTACCTCAGACTTCTGAATTGGACGTTGCTTGCTCTGACTCACACGCATGGGGGTTAACCCTACTAGGCGAGAGTATAAAGTTGGCCCTGTAGCTTCTGCAGGCAATCTGCTCGTGGAGAAGTGTTATCTCCAAATGCTTTCAGCATCTTTAACCTCCTTCCTTGCGCCGACCGTGCGAGAAGTAGCGAGAGTTCGAAATGCAGCGGGAAACCTGCCCACAGTACAAACGGAGCGATGCTTCGTCTGCTTGCGTTTCTGGTGAGTAGAATATCTCATTTTGTGATAGAAATTTAACGAAACCGAATTTGGAAAGCACACTTTGAAGTCAGGAGTTGCGCTTCCCTCGTAAAGTACCGAAACAAATACTTTAAGTAAAGTAGAAGTACATACTCGGAGGATGTACTTCAAGTGGAGTACAGGTATTCTAAACCTGCTTGAAGTGATACTTTAAGTGACTTAGTAAGTACTTCCCAACACTGGAAATTTCATTGGCCCAGAAATCAAAATGCAGTTGCACCATTTTCACTTTGCCGTATGCCTATAGGCGCTGGGCAGGGTTCCACAGAGCGCCTCCGTCGGTTGAACATCAGTGCCACTGTGGCCAAATGAGGCAACACTGGTACGGCTAAAATCGGCAGCGTCGCCTGAGATTACACTATTACCAGCTCCCAGCGTTGTGTTTTCACGCACCACACTACCGACTGTTTTAAAAATGTATCTAACGTTAAATATATTAATGTGTATGACTGTGTGGTTGTGCCATTCTAGCATCATAGAGTTTTAGTTGGTGCCTTTCCTCTTGACCCTTTCTGGAATTTAGTCTGGCCACTTTGATCCCTATCGTTATCTGAAAAAATGGCATATGTGGTATACTATAATGATGACCTACTGTTTACTGATGAAGGAAGAACTTGAAGATGCTCCTAAGTAAATGATTCGAAGCCTATACATTCTAGACCTTGGCGCGACGTGAATCAGGAATTGGATGCAAGAGCTGCGTAATCATTCATTTCTAACTCTGGCCCCGTCAATCTGTTAGTAGCACACACTCGGCTCAAAGCCCCCTGATGTATAGAACTTTATCAAGGCGTCTATGTAGGTTGGCACTTCGTTCTGACTGGTTGCATCTTTTTCGCCGTCGACACTGAGAGAGATTAATAAAGAATTCTAGAGTGAAGTGCACATTCTCGTTTACCGTTGACTTGCGAAAATGACGGCGCCCCATAAAATAGTGTACGGTAAAAGTTAAACTTCCATTTGAGTCGCCAGATGGCACTGATTTGTCGAAAAGGTCTATAGTTAAAACAACCCACAATGGGACCTAGCAGGACAAAACCGAACCTCCTGATATTACAGTCAAATATTAGGGAAAGCAAGTGGAAAAGGGCAATTCTCTTCTTTTTCTATGTTGTTTGCACGTGCCTTAAACTGACAAAAGCGGAGATTTCGTCGAGCATCCCTCCTCTACAAAAGCCGAACCGAAAGTGACGTGCCCCCTCCCCCCCTTCTCCCCTCACCTTCCCCCACCCTTTTTTCTTCAAGTGAACTCTTCTCGCATGAATAGCCAACCTAATTTTGAAGATCACCTTGTTTCCAGTCCCCTCGTCATCCTGTTGAGGATGATTATGGTGTCCGAGGAAGATGCTTTTCGTGCAAGCTAGCCCTAGTTCGGACAGTGTCATACAGAGTTGCTGGTCTCAAGCTGATGCTCGTTCTCGTCGATTGAACCTGCTCTTCACTTTTACATAGAACACAAATAAACGCCGCATGGATAAACTTTTCTTGTAGGGTAAGTATATATATTTTTTTTTTCTTGAGTAGACCGTTTTCTTGCAGCCGGGACGAAGTTAGAACCGCATAGACACGGGTCGAAAGAGAGCAAACATCTTGGGCAGGTACGCGGTGAATACGACAGTCCGGTCTGCAACCGGTGAAGCAAAGAAAACGCTCACTTCGGTTTTCGGTAATTACGACAAAACGTCCAGAAAACGTTGTTCATTCAAGATGCGTCCGCGGAGCAGAGAGCAGTGAGAGTGTCAAAGGACTGACCTGACTCTAGAGTCATCGCAACGAACCCATAAAAAAACGCTGGACTTTGGGCACATTAATTCCAAATATCGAGTCAAATAGCAGATTTAGAAATCCATCTCAAGTCGGGCAATGCGAAGGGAATGCTTATTTTACATGTTTTACGGCATTTATTCATTTCCGACGGCGTTGTATTTTCTATGGCCTCGACGGGAATCTGCGGAGTTTCATGGCTGCTAAGCTTCCGGGGTTGGGACAGTGCCTACAGCTTCGACGTTTGGTCTTCTGCATCATCCGATAGCAATGTTAAGAACAAAAGACCAAAAACGTATGAATCAGCACCTTCAAATTGATGCGTGACCCGCCCCACGAGCAAGCAGGCTGGCGAAAGGGCCTTCCCAGTGTTGCAAATATTTTGAGCTAGATGGCGCAATGCGTCGCACCAAACTTGATTGCCCCATGGGTATAGCCACTGAGAGAATGACAGGGAGGCCCTGCAATTTTCCCACCTCGAGAGCAACCTTCCATGATGGTCCCAACATGCACACGCAGCAAAAGCATGCCAAAAGGCAATGAGCATACGCTGGAGGCGTTTTAAAAGAGATTCCCTGGCGTTCCCATCCTGTTGATGATTAATTAATCCAGCTTCTGTATTCAGTTGGATGTGGTACCGAGGCTTTAGGTCAAAATCAAACTGGTGGATACCCGTCCTGAAGGTACGAGCCAAGTCCGAAAAATCGAGCAACGGGTTGTAAGGCGTCAAGAATTTAAGTTGGTGCTATACATTAACTCTGGAGCAATCAAGACTTCTCAATAACCAAGCATGCCTGAAATGTGGGGATCCGAAAAATCGGCCAGTGACTATATTTCGGCGTGTCTTACCATTAAGTCGGGTTACTTTTAAAGTACCGTTTTTGAAAGCTCCAGAACTGGCACAAGCGAGAGAAAAAAAAATCCATTAAGCCTGCTGGGTACTACTAGAAACATCACCTCAATCTTTATTTAAAAGGCAATGTCGACTAGACCGTGCAAAGACCCAAGGAAACTGCTCGAATAATAGTGCCAAACTTTTGGTGTAACTGAGTGTTTTTTGCCCTTCCAATTCATATCTGTATGAAATGTTTGGGCACACAATGGATGGCTGCTGATTTGTAGAGCTGAAGTTTGAGAAACAACTGCGCTCTTGAACTGACTGGTCCATTTCAGCATTCTGGGTGTTTGGAATGCCTGCAAAAGATGTTCACTTTTCATTATTAAATTTTAAAAAATATAAGATTGCTCAGGCTGACTTAGCTGTGTTTCCACACTACTCCAGAACTTCTTGTTGTTGAGCTTTGAGCGAAAGTGAACATCCATATTAGTTGATCCCCCTCGGCTACGGTAACCCCACATGAAAGGAATGCACCCACCTTAAGCTTAGCCATGTCTTCCAGCCTGGTGATGTCAGTCAGTTCCTGGTAGTTGGAGTAGACCACAAGCCACGCAAATATCTGCCGAGAGAAATACAAGCACATAATTATTTGTTAGAATGACTAAGACACAACACAATGCTGGTGGCCTAAACAACTTGTCGCTCAATGGTTTCTCCCATATTCATAGCATGGCTAAAGTGTGAATGTGTGCTTAGTACATGACATTAACCTGCAGTCAAACTTTCAGCGGTGAATCATAACTCACACCAGGAAGGAAATGGTGTGGTTTGTTGAAACAATCCTGTTAAAAAAAATTACGAGGCAATTCTTTCTTATTTTACTTCGCAAACACATTAAGGAGCAGGTATTCACTTTAATAAAGTGTTGAACGGGAATGACTCAAATCCGTCTTCCTCTTCGAACTACTGGGCCAATTAGCGGTTATAATGTGTGCAAGAGATCTGGTGCTGGTGAAAATGCCTTTTTCCAAAAGAAACAGAAGCAGTACCATCTCCTGGCAATAAATAACATGTGCAGTTGGGCCCGCGAGATCTTTAAAAAGATGCAAAGCTACAATAGACCACTTCTATAGATCCCTGCATGCAACACCATGCACATTGCATTCAACAGAAAGTTGACCACAAAGCGGAATGGCATGGCTTCATAGTAGATCGACTCGTCGGCGAAATTGTTGCTATACACTTGAACCACTTTATAACGAACACTGATATAGCGAACTAATCACGAAGGTTGGTTGGTCATGCTTTATTTGGATGGGAGTTCTAGTTATATAACAAAGCCGAAACCGTGAAATCTGACACGCTATCCGTTATAGCGAAGCAATTCCCGCTTTTTCTTGCGTCACAAAATACTATGAAGTTAGTAAAAAGTAGGAAAAATACACAGTAATTTCTAAACGAGAAATCCTGAAAAAAAAGTTTAGATCACCCAATGTGCAAAAATGCGTGTTTCGGGAGGTAGCGGAGCTCTATGCGAGCCGTCAAGAACCAGTGCAGACTAAAGCCAACCGCCAACCACGCCACTTGTATTGGAGCCGCAAATGGCGACGATGCGAAAAGCTGTCTCTCTGGAGACGAAAGTGAAGGTTTTGAGTGCGGTGGACAGCAGTCGGAAGAAAAAAAGACATCACTGCGGACTTCGAGCTTGCAACAAACACGATACCTACCGTTCCGAGTGCAAAAAAAAAAGATTGAAGACTGCTGTGCAAACAACACTGTCAAGACTGACTGAAAGTCTTAGGCCTTGCCTCAACTTGGACGTGGAAGAGGCTCTGTTCTCATGGTTTAAGGACATAAGGGCGCAAAATTTGTTGGTGTCTGATCAGCTTCTTCAAACAAAAGCAATCAATCTGGCATGTGTGTTAGGGCATGATGATTTCATAGTGAGCAGCGGTTGGCTCCAGCGCGGTGGTTCCATGTGAAGAGGCACCAGCCCTAATTCATGTCTTCAAATAAATGGAATAAGATCCAGCCAACGTTGTTTCTTGTGTTGCGAATTGATATCCTCATGCTCTGATCTATTTTTTTTAATGATGCTTAGTGACAGGCGAGGGTGTCTACCAAATTTTTTTTTTTTAAATTACCTGACCCACAACTACCGACATCAAAACACAATATATGACAAATAGACACTATTCTACCAAATTATTTTTTTTAATTCTCTGACCCACAACTACCGACACCAAAACACAATATATGACAGATAGACACTATTCACAACATAAAACATTTTATTTAAGTTAGATAAAGCAAACTTTGGAAGATGTTTAGAATACAGCATTGACCCGGGTTCACTGTTTCAGGGAGTTTGGTCCCAGTACCTGATCAGTACATCCATTTGTTCTCTTTGAGTTACTTTGTTCAGTGACTCATCAAAAGCAACCACCAGATATGGCACGCTAGAGAGGCTCGCTAGCAACTTCTCTTGAAAGTATGGGGTGATACCGTGACATATGGTATATCCCACTCTGTCTTTTCCAAGCTGCATTTTTCTGGCGGTCTCACACATGGGGAACATCAACGGAAACAGTGAGGCAGACGCTGCCGCTGAACGGAAAGATCCATGAGTGTTCAAGCACCACATGATCCCCGGCCTTTGTGACTTCCTTCTTCAATAAAATGCCACCACCCACGTCTTCACAGAGGGGCTAAGAGCTTCCGTGGCGGTGGTTAGACGCATTGCCGGAGGGAGCCCTACAAGCACTATAGCTAGCTCCGGACAAAAAACACCAGTTCCTGTCGCGGAAAGCAAGTCCGCATTTGTCGCAGTTTCGAAAAATATGATTGGGCTCTGGGAAACACTAAGCAGATATTTCATAGCAGCTGGATGTTTCTTACCCTCAGCATGAGTAGTAATCGCTCTATTCCCCATGTTGCTCAGGGAGAACATCTTGCAGCCCACTGTACAGTGAGCACTATTTGGATCATTTGGAATGGGCCGAATCCCGTAGCATCCGTGGATATATCCGGGTTTGTCCAGTTGAGGTTGAAGCACTTCCTCGACAGCGACATAGTCACTTTCACATATCTCCACTTCCGGAAAATAACACAATAGAAAGCTCAACCCAAAGCCACAAATGCACATGGCAGAGCTCGCAGAGCGCAGGCGTCCAGGTTGTGTTTACAGGTAAGCGCGAAAACATCATATCTGACAAACGAATGTATCGCTAGGCGCGTGCCTCTGAGAGGGTAGATGAATGAACGACGACTGTTCTCTTTTGAGTGAGTGGTGACTCGCGCCACCTAGTATCGGCTAGAGTAACTGTTTCTCCTCGTACTAGAGCAACACCACCTTACTAGAGTCACGAACTAAAAAAAATGGCCGCTACTACTCTGCTTTACTAGTAATTCTGAGTAACTCTTTAGCTGTCATACTTAAGCGTTGCTACTCTAAAGTGTAGCTTATTTAGTGGCTTTAGCGTGTACTAAAAGAATGACGAGCCGCCAGCTTCGCACATGCTCCGGTGTGAAGCGCAGCGCGTGGAAAATTGGGCGGGTCGCATCGCACCTAAGGGGTCGCGACGCCGCACCTGACTGTGCTCGTGGCTATGCCTGCCCTTGCCTCCTGCTTCTAGCGTAAGCGAGCGAGCATGGGATAAATTCCCTGACTCGGCAATCTTTTTGGAAATTTCCCTGACAAGTCCCCGACTTTTCCAGGTGTCTTAAAATTCCCTGACAATTCCCGGTTTTCCTGGTCGGTAGACACCCTGCAGGTAAGGGTCTAGCGGTCTCCGATAGCGCGTTTTATATTTTAGTGCTGTGCGCATTCTTGCATGGGCTCGATTGCGGGAGCGTTCGCGTCAATTTTTGCGTGTACTTTTATGACGAATATCACATATAGCGAACAAATTTCTGCTCCTGACGCTAGTTCGTTATAACAAGGTTCGACTGTACTCGGCATCAACTTTTTTATGCTATGCTGCCAAAGTTTGGATAGATTCCGTAGTGATCCAGTGCTGTCAAAGCTACTTCCACAAGCACTTGGGTTTATCTCCTTCGCACGAGAGCATGTGCAAATGAGACATGACATAAAGCCACATGCTAGGGCAACAGTGCGTCTGAGCAGAAGTCCCGCAGAAACTACGCTAGAGTTAACAATGCAGCAAAACACGGACGACGCCAACTATAGACTGCATAAAGCATGAACTATGCAAATCTCCACTTTTTTTTTTGCATGCACTCTGGATAGAAATTTTGGGAGCACCATTTAGTGGCCTCTGAACTATCCTGAAGGTCCAACCAAAAACTCAGTGGCAAACGCAGAACACACAGCATGGCAGCACCAGAGGTATTTTGATCTATTCAGCTGGACGTCCTCTCGAAAACAGCATAAACAGAAAGTAAAAATAAAAACCCCTCACCACCAGAATTTCACAATGATTAAATCTCATGAGGACAAGAGGAACTGCTTGAAATCCTTGTCACAGTGACCGCTTACGGCTTCTCCAAAATACCCTCAACCCTGTTTAGGTAGACTAGGTATGTGCAAGAACGCATCAGGAAAAAGGCATTCTCACGAGCCAAGGTTGCCGAAAACTGCGCTAAACTTTCCACAGCCCTCTTATAAAACAAAATTGTGGAAATCAAAGCTACTTCTGTTGTCTCACACACAATATTTCTTTGTTCTCAACAATGGGAACAAGCAAAAAAACAATTTGCTGCGATTGACTAGTGGAGTGAGAGCTTCACAGAACTTAGAAATGCATTCGTGGCTTGCTAACAATCTATGGACAACATATGAGAACCACTAGTCCACTTTCTAACTATCAGCTACCATTTAATGGTACCTTAATTAAGGTGTCCTTTAGGTGAAATTTAATTTTCATACAAAGTGTCTCGTGCAAAGACACATGGGTGCTCTGCTAGTAATGAAAAACACTGAACAGTGCAAGCTTACATTTGCTGCAATTAGGAGAATCCAGATGATCAGCATTGCCTGATGATAGGAGTAATAGAGATCCTAAAAAAAAAAACAACAACATATATTACACATTACACAAAGTACATGGTGCGCCAGCCAAACCCAGAGTAGTCTTTATGCATATGCAACATGTTTATTGGCATCTCACTCGTTAAGGGTGCTATGACTAATAACAGTGCACCGGGGCATGGTTCAAAAGAATGCCTGTAACCGTGATCTTCAGTTTCAAGATTTGCATCGTTTCTGTGCGACCCCTTTCAAAAGCTGGAAAAATGAAGGCTATATATGTTTGTGCAGGCACACAGCAACCACAGGTAGCCCACGTAGTTGGTTAGGCCAAAAGCTATCGGGGGTGTACCATATTGATTTACTTTCTTTTCTTGAAGCAGACTCTGGCCTCTTAGGGGTTGGTAGATACGTCCACCTTCTTGACATACTCCCCCTAATGCTAAGCATACTGGCAGCACCCATGTGGCAGCCTTTTCATACCTTGTTGAAACCACTTTTTGGAAGTGCATCGCACTCATGCTTGAATAGCTGCTTCCAGCTCACCGAAGACTGCTAAATGGCATTCTTGCAGGGGTTTCCTCATGGCCTCAAACAGGTGATCACCTTTGGGAGCCAAATCGGGGTGTACAGATGCACGACCAAATGCCCGGCAGGTCGTCTGAATGGCACGTCAGAAAGACGGCCAAACACAACCAGGCACTGGTCAATCACGGCACAGGTTGCCTAGCAAATTATTATTTTGAAATTCTGACATTTCCAGGTTTTCCCTGAAATTGTCAGGGAAATTGACGGGGACCATTGTAGAGGCAGTTAAACATATAAGACCATTACAACACAAGGCATTGAGCACTGTGAGGATAATTTTGCACAGGCTTGATCCAACTTGCATATTCCGAAATTTTCGGGTTCATCCAGTCCAAATTAAATGAGCAGTTTCTTGCCGCCGACATCGTCAGTGAAGAGGCCACTTCCGGAAACACGACGTTCAACCACACTAGTCAATAACCAAAAGGCAGCATGGCTGCCAGATCCACACTTTTGGGTATTTCAACTTAAGGCTTGGATTGGATTCGGGCCTGCGGCTTTTCCATTTGTTATTAAATCTAGTACCTCCAACTGGATCTAGCCTAGTGTCACACCCTCAATCCAATCCAATCCAAGGCTTGGACTGAATTTGTCGGCTGTTCCCTTTGCGTCGGGTAGCGCACTCTACAACGGGTGAGCAGAGCCCGTGCTTCGTTCTAAGAATTTACCTATTTTTCTGTCCAAGTATTTGCTCAGGGCACTCGATGTCATTTCCGGCTCATTTTCCCTGAATGGGCTCGCTTTCTGACAATATCCCTGGCAATTAATTAAAATTTTTCTGAATATTCCCTGTTTTCCTGGTCGCTAGACACCCCGACGGCATCACTTGCATTCACACGAAACCGTAACTGGCCAGTGCCTCGTAAGGTCTGGCCATGTTTCTGATGCATATTACGACCTGTTAAACGCTTGGTCATGCCCGTGCGTGGACACGGCCCCATCTGGCTCTTAGCGATTCTCATCTGATTGGGTCTATATAAAAAAAAGCCCTGCGAAGATGCCATTTCGCAGTCATTGGACTAGACAGCTATCTCCCAGCTTTCTAATCTTCGGTGCAATGTACTTCCCCGAAGAGGCTCCAGCAGAGCATAGAAAGACTACCACATCGGTGGCACAACTGCATCCAGCTCCAGGGGGAGTACGTTGGGAAGGCGGACATATCTCGCCACCCCCAAGTGGCTGGAATCTGCTTCATGAAAATAAAGGGTAAATTAACAATGTATGCCTCTCCTATTTCCTAAAATGCTACTGCACAACTAGATACAAAGTATTAAGTCACATGTAACAAGTGGATGCCAGAGACCTCCTCTCATGAAGGCTGCACAGACAGACCGGACAGGCTTACATTGCAGATGGACCGAAAAATGATGGCAAGGATTCGCCAAGCTGTGAACGTAAACATGATGAACAACCATGGCCGGAACTTGGCTTCTTTCTCCTGCGGAAACAAAAAAAGGCCTCTCAGAACCATCCAGTTGAAAACGCAATACACAATGAAAGCCACAGAGAGAGAGAGAGAGAGAGAGAGAGAGAAGAAATAAAGAACCCCTAGAAATTGTTAACTGGATCCAGACGTTGTGTACAGTGTAGTAGTTAATATGACTTATTACAAAGCCAGCGTTTCTTTGGCAAATCAGAATGCAATTGAGAAAGCACAGTTCACCCTTGATGTTTCGTCTAATGCAAAACTTGTGGTATGGCTCAGGGCAGCTGTTGCAAGCATCACTAAACAAGCAGCCAAGTCTAGCTTTTCTTTTTTGGTTACACAAAAAAAGTAAAGCCACCCTCCCTTTTCCCACTATTATTATTTTGGGGTGAAGTGAAAGGGGGAAGCCATAAGAGCTGTGGAGGGCTTCCAAGAGGGTTAGGCAACATTTCAGATGGCGTAAGATAGGTGGCGCAAGCTGCGGCCCAATTAAAAGGGCTCAGCCTTATTCGTTTATCTATACCCACTACTGTATACGACTGACTGGGGATTTCTGCCAAAGCCTGTCACCACGGGATCTCTTAGGCATGCAACACAGAACTTCAAGTATTCGTGCTGTACTGCATGAAACACACACAACATGTTGGGTCTCACAAACACTTAGAAACTCAAGCACGTGATGGAACCTACCTTTCGCAGAGCGACCACCTTGATGACTGAAGCCGCCAGCAGGCAAGTACTCAGTATGAACGAGATGACCGACACTGTGATCAACAGGTTCCGCACTGAAATGATAATAGTCAAGCAAGTGGTTATTACATACTATTAAATTATTTATTTCTTTACAGGGTGTGCGGAGGTAAACAAAAATAAATAATGACCAAACTTCCGGGGACAGTATGTTACCTCCAACTGGCTATTCATTTTGCTTGCTTTTGAAAACCCTCGGAGAGTAGCGCATACCTTGAAAGTCTCACCGCCAAGGACTAACTATGGTACCTCTTGAAATTGACTCGTACAAGATTGATATGCCTTTCTGGTCTCTGTTCCTCAAAGGAGTGACAAATCTGCTGAAGGTATTGTGGGCACATCTTCAGGACTACTTATTCGACTAGTTTGGTCTATATACCAGAGAATGACTGAAAACCTACAAATCCCTAAACACGTTCAACTACTTTGTGGACGACAAGGCATCGGCGATGGGCAGCCACCTCCCCCAGGCGCCAAAGACATGCGCTGAGCTTCCCCGCAGGGGTCGCCGAGGAGGGCCTTGGTTTTAGCAGACAATCTGCTAAAAGTTTTTGTTACGCTTCCTTTAGCATGACGTGAGTGTCCAATGCACAATTTTCTAGTGTTTTCATTTGGTTGCTTTGGTATTCAAGGTTCCTTTCCCAGAGCATCCTGCACATTACACTTGTATGTGCCATAATGGCCCATTGTTGCATGGAGATGGTCAATCACGGTGCTGCATTCTCGCGTTGCGCCATCTGTCGGCAGCTAGAAAAACAAGGGTCGTCGCTCACACTCCCAAACGCAAGGTAAATATAGGAGAACCGTAAGTATTTCTCTGCCCGTGTCATAACGACCAGAAATGTGCAAACACCCTGTATCATGAGTCAACCGAGTGGACTGCATAAATAGACCTTTCACTGAATTACAAAAGCACCAAGGAGCATGCCGTGAGTGCAATGCAAAACCGTTATTGCAGCAGTAATGGTTTCAAAGCAAAAACCTAAAGGGACGTTCACACACTTGTGACTCCTTAGTAGCGAGTGTCTTAAAACCTCTTACGACAGGAATACACTGACGCCATCTATGCAACGACCCTGGAACTTCATTTCACTAGAGTGAATGTTTGGCGGTATTTGCGAGGTCAAATGAACATACTACTTATGAGAAATGATTGTCTATAACATTAATAAAGGTTTTTCAAGCCCACCAAAAAAAAAAGATGCACGAAAAAATTTTAGAATATACGGGACTGCTCAGTGTTCCACTGCTACCCGCTAGGTGGTGCCAGTGTGTCCTCTCGTCGTAAGAGATGTTAAGAGGTTCCAAGGCACTTGGTTCTAATAAGTCGCAAGTGTGTGAACGGGCCTTGAAAGAAATGGCAGTTTGCAAGTGCGTTCATCAATGCCTTATCGAGGCTATTTTCTTCAAATCATTTATACCATTACAACCAGTCCATCCAGTGTGTGTACCTACATTCCCAGCATTCCCCTTGGCGCTTGGGTAGCTTGGCGGTCAATGCGGAGAGCAAGTCGTCTGCTTCTTGCGCAGGAGCTGCGGTGACGTCAGAACAATGCCGAGCTCTTATTGGCTTTGATTGAAAGGATAGTGGGTAGACCTGAATGCTAGATGTGTTGAGGTCTATCCACTATTTTTTTCAATCAGCCAATAATAGCTCGACGTTCTGACGTCATCGCAACCCCTGTGCAAGAAGCAGACAAACTTGTGCTCTGCATTGGTTTCTTGAATGTACTAATTGCAATGTTCCAAAAGGACATGAATAGGTGATGAACACATGTTATTAAAGTTTCAGCATGCACATTAGCATGTCCTCAGGAATTAAAAACAAAACGTTGCTCTACAAGACTCAACTGCTCACCTAAGTCTATTTCTTATATGATACTTAGCCCAAATCTACCAACAGAGGCGACTGCCAGTGGTAGTGAAATGAAATGACATGCAATAGTAATACTTGTAATGGCTCAGGAGAGCCGAAGAACAAGTTTTCTCTCTACTTAATTATGCTTAAAAAAAAAAAAAAAGAAACGGAGCTAGCCAAACGTCGAACTGACTGCTCAATAAAGTTCCTCCAATTTGAAAAGTTCCCGACGATCGGTGGGAAGACGAGTACCCACCGTGTTGGTTTCCGCTGTAAACGAAGAGGAAGCTGAATCCAAAGTAACGGTAGTGCATCGATCCGGGCGAAGCTTCGGCAAGGCAGTAGACGTCGAACACGGTAAGTGTGATCATGAAGATGCTCTCGACCTGAGAAAAACGAATACAGGGATCGGTGACAACACTCCTCGCACGCGTTGTTGTTGACAGGCTGACCCCTTTCGACAAAGTCGGCGTTCAAAGGCATCCAAAGATCTGACGAGACTGGAACGACTTCACCGTGGAACTAGGAACATGCGGTGTGTGCCGACTATTCGAAGACATTTGAATCGTGTCGCCTTGATCTTTGCGCGAACACACCCTATGACGGCAACTCACTATGGAGAAAATTCCAGCGAAGTAGCTTCCGTTCTGAAGATCGGTGAAGTACGCGGATCTCAGGAGTGGCCGTCGTTGATGCCACTTTTGGCGAGATCGGTCCATTGTCGACGGTGGCATTGTTACGTCAACTTAAAAAAAATGTGGAAACAGTGCGAACCCGAAGAAATGCCAAATGCTTGAACAACCAAGAGACCAAGAACACAACGCCCGTTTGTTGACGAAAACCCGGATGTGACGTAACGGACGCGCCTTGAAAGACGACAACGGACGTTAGAGGGCAGAAAACAACAAGGCTAGCCTCGAACCCGGCGACTTGATCCGTGCTGCAGCTGTCAGCTGCTGTGGTGTCGAGGTTAGAAGTGTTGTGGAAAGTTGTCTGTTGTATTGAGTGTTTGATCGTGTTGCGTTTCTTGCGTCAAATCCGAATCTCGCTCAGTTTTGCTTGAAGAAATTCGCGAAGCTCGGCGGAGTGAGATGCAGCTACATCTATACGGCGCCCGAGTATGTCTATATCGCTGGTGGTTCTGCGACTAGAGGTAGCGGCGGACTACGCGATTTTTCCGCACATCAACTACGTTTCGGCCAAGGCGACTCGGCGACTCGATCTTTGTGCTTCGGCGACTCCATACCGAAGTGGTGCTGGTGAGTGGCGTTCATCGAGCAGTAAGTTCGAAGAAATCCGAAAAGAAAGCCGGGGCTGTCGCGAACCGCACGACATCGTCATCGAGTCTGTGACGATCGAGTTCGATGACATGGCGAGCAGCAAATCGTCCTCGCGGCCTCCCCGAAGCGACCGAGTTAGTGCCGAGTCATCCCCGCTTCGCGAGCCGGACCCTGTTCGACGCATGGAGGCGTTGGACCTCACGGAAGTCGGGGCTGCCGAACGTTCGAAAGCTCTGAGCACCCAGATACCGTTTTTCAGCGGTAACCACTGCGTCGAAGTGACCAAGGGAATCCTGCACCTGTTCAAGGAGAACCAGCAGACTCCCTTGGGCGAAGCGGAGCGCAGCGAGATGCTTTGCATGCTCGCCGTGCCCGCCATGATGACTCTGCACGACCTGCTCCAGTTCATCGCCCCGGTGAGCGCGCACGTCGAGAACATCCGCGTTATCAGGGACTCCAAGCCCAACCTGTACATGGTCCTCCTCAAGTTCAGGGACCAGAAGTCGGCGGACGACTTCTACCAGAACTTCAATGGCGTCCGCTTCAACTCCATCGAGCCAGAGACTTGTCACCTTGTGTACGTCTCCAAGGTCGAGATGGTCAAGGAGGACGACCCGGCATGCATCGTGGTACCAGGCCACACGGAACTGCCCACCTGTCCCGTCTGCCTGGAGCGCATGGACGAGTCGGTCGAGGGCATCCTCACCATCCTCTGTAACCACTCCTTCCACGACGGCTGCCTGGCCAAGTGGGGAGACACGAGCTGTCCGGTGTGCCGGTACTGCCAGACGCCGGAGCTGGTGCCGGACAACCGGTGCTTCAGCTGCGGCTCGCAGGAGAACCTCTGGATCTGCCTCATCTGCGGACACATCGGGTGTGGACGCTATGTGGAGGCGCACGCCTACAACCACTACGTCCGGACGCAGCACACGTTTGCGATGCAGCTCGGCAACAACAGCGTCTGGGACTATGCCGGAGACAACTACGTCCATCGTCTGGTACAGAACAAGACGGATGGGAAGCTGGTGGAGCTTCAGGGCTTGGGGACGGACAGCGACGAGAAGCTGGATTCGGTGCAGCTGGAGTATACTTACCTGCTGACGAGTCAGCTCGAGAAGCAGCGGCAGTACTTCGAGGATTGCATCGACATGGTGCAGAAGGAGAATGTGAAGCAGATCAATGAGCTGAAGGAGAAGACTCAGATTGCAGTGGAGGAGAGGAAGGAACTGGAGCGCAAGCTGAGTCAGGTGATGAGCAATGCCTGGGATTGATCTAATTGGTCGACATACTTAAAAAAAAAGCTGCAGGAAAGGTGGGACACAGTCGGATAATCACGCAGGATAGGTGCTACTCTGTGAAGCTCGCGAGACAGGTGCTGTCTTCTGAAGCACACAGGACAGAAGCTGTCCCGTGAAAAACACAAGACAGGAGCTTTCCTGCGAAGCACACAGGACACTGCCTGTCTTGTGTGTTTCTCCAACTGTGTCATTTTTTTCCCCCACTTTTTTAAAAAAAAATTTTTATGAGTCGCCAGCTACCCTAGCAGTCATCAATTTTACACAGTACTGCTATTTGGTTGTTTTTCTTGCTTTGATTGGACTGCGCCGTGGCAACACTGGGACTAAGAGTAGGACGCTTCTACTGTACGAGCTTACCTGTATGTTGTGTCGTCTTTCTAGTCCCAGTGTTAATTATTGGTAATCTTGCAGTGCAGTTCAGTCGAAGCATGATTCAAGCGAAAAGGTTATTATCGTCTGTACTTGCAGTAGGGCTCCCAGACGTGTGTCCGACGGATGCGTCTGTCACGTCCTCATTTGTCATCCCTTGTTTTCCATGCGATGACATTGTAGATGTTAGTGTCATGCTGTTGCCTGCCTGATCCTGGTGGTGATAGGATGCCTTCATATGTGCTTTGCTTAGGGGGATAACTTCTAACCATTTTTTTTTTTCTGAAGCCCCTGAAAGAGCATGTTTCTGCATGCGGTCGTTGTGCTGACTATGCTACAGCGACATTTTGTTTTTGTCAATTTCATAGTATTTTCCCCGTGGACGCATGCTGTAGGCATTTTTGACTACAAAGGATGACATCAACCCTAAACAGAGGCACATTGAGGCACCCTAGGAGGAGACACAGTGGTAGAGGTGAGTATGGTGGACACCAGTTCCGCTGTATGTCACGCTCCAGCTTGATAGTCTACAAAGGTTCAGCAGCCACGACTCGGGACGCTCTGACGATAGCGCCACTCGCGTCTGCTCGTGCTTTTTGCCAAAACTTCTACAACTGACCGCCAGAATGATGATGTCCAACAGCATGACACCCTGGCCTCTGTGGCGTCATTTGTTGCCACTTTGGGATCGCTTTCGATGCTAGGCTGCTGTAGAACACTAAACACACTAATCGAAGATGCGTTCTAAGCACTGTACTTATGGGGCCGTTTCAAAAAGTGCTCACGGTTGACGAACTGCAGCTTTGCTCAGGATCGCACGGATTGAAAGTTGTAACTCTCAGTGGCTGGAAAGTTATGCGGGGATTGTTGTGATGTCAGAAGGTTGAGCTTTGATGGAAGGATAGTGGATAGACCTCAAAGCAAGCTGCATTTAGGTCTCCCCACTATCCTTCAATTGGAGCCGATCGGAGCTCGGTGTTCTGACGTCACCACACCCCCTGCAAAAGAGGCAGACAAACTTGCGAATAGCTTACAGGTTTTTAAATCCCCCTAAAACGTGAAGGCCATCCTGCTCTCAACCTAGAAATTTTAGAGAAATGTCGTTATTTTCAACTTGGCTGTTCGTAACTAAATAAATGGTCTACAGTCCCGTAAATTGAGTAGATGGAAGTGAATTACTAAATCAGGAGCGAAATTACTTTGCACTTCCATCACTTGTTTAGTGATGTTGTGCAAACACACTTATGGCTACTGTCAAGGGAGGTGGCACTGTTTGTGAGTATCTGCAATAATTAGATGGTGATTTCAAGTTACTCTTTGGATTTAGAAGGCAACTTCTTGTTTTATTTTCAACTCGAAACTGACTATAAATTTCATCACTATTAACAGCTTGGGTTTGCGCAGGCTCTTTTCCGAAATTCAGTATGGCCACTTTGATTGTTCTGATCTGAGGACTGGCATATTTGCCGTGCTAATGGCAGCTTTATGGCTTCTGATGGAGGGAGAATTTGAAGATGAACTTAAGTGGATGATGTGGTGCCTATACATTTGATACAAGTGCTGCGTAAGCGTTCATTTCGAAATAGGGTCCATTCAATCTCTTGGCAGCACGCAATTGGTCATAGAGCAGTTCCTGTGGTTTGTGGATGGAATCGCAGTATGCTCCCTTTCACAAACCAATTTTTGCTGCTTGCTAGAATCACATTCTTTTTACCATGCAGCTCTTAATAGATTCATTAGATCTTAGAACAACGGTACTCTGTGTCATTTTGGGTGAAGGCTCGAAACAGTCACAGTATTTACCGTTTAGTAGCTGTCTTTTGGCAGATCACATTCGTTTCTGTCTGTTGCAACATCTAACGGTCTCCGCAGGTGACAAAGGACAAGGACGCACTCCGCCGCAAGAGTGAGCAGCTCTCGTCGCAGCTGAGCAAGGCCAAGGCCGAGCTCCAAGAGGAGAAGTACATCAACAAATGCCTGCACGAGAACCAGGTCGGCTGGCAGACGAGGCTCAAGGACGTCGAAGGAAAGCTGCAGGAGCTTCAGGAGGCCAAAGACAAGGAAGTTGAGGAGCTCCAGGAGCAGCTCAGGGACCTCATGTTTTACCTGGATGCAAAGGACAAGATCGACTCGTCTTCTAACGACATTCGGCAGGAGATACAGGAAGGTACCGTCATCGTCGGAGCTCCTGGGCCTTCTGGATTGTCCGGGCAAAAGCCGCGGAGACGTAGGAACCGTTGAATCTCGCTCTTGTGACTAGTTTGCACAGTCTGTACAAAGTTGCTTCGTTATTTATGTCCTTTGAAAAGGGGCTTTTCACAGCCCGGATATTTCAAGGATACTGCCATTGATTGCTGCTATTTCTAGTGTCCTTGCAAAGGACTGGAGGAACGGTGTCCAACCTGAGTCAACCTTTCTGCGTTTGTGCACGGACGTTGGGCCGAATTATGACTGGCACCACTTTGTCGAGTTTTTTAGGGTTTGGTGAACGCGGGTGTCCTGTATGCATATGAGATGTTTGAGTTTTCAACAAACTGCTCATTCACTTGGTCATATACCGTGGTTTCACAACGCTTCAAAGACGGTAGCGTGTTGTCTGCATGCCTTAGTTTTACCAAGACTTTAAGATACAGTTTGCACAAAGAACTGTGATCAAGTCAATCTTTTTATCCTTCTGTCACCAGTGGAAGGCTTGTTCTGAAGGTTAAACAAACTTAAGGAATTCTAGCCTTTGCACACTAGGAGGCAACTCCATTAAATGAATGATACCCGACTGTGGTGACTCGCTTTATTGGCAGTTGAAAGATGCCTTATGTGCAGTCAAGGTATTTACTTTGATTGAGGGTTTGGGTACCTCATTGTTTGCCAAATGACTGTGATAAGGCCTGTTGGTGGGATAAACCAGTCTCTGACGCTTGTAGTGATGAGACATTGGGGAAGACGCTTCACTTGTTTGACTAAAAATATTTAATTGATAATGGTGGCCAATTTTGTGGCTATTTCGAGGACTACATTGGCTAGAGTATATAATAGAAAAATTGCATTGTATGAGAGAAGTGCATTTTATGTGGTTGGGTACTTTATCTAGAAGTTACTGCACAACATTTCCATTCAATCTAGGTCAAGGCTGAATTTAGGATTTTGTTGGGCTTGCTGAAACCTAAGCATCCTGCAAAATATGTTTACTCCGTGCCACCCAAGCATGCAATTGGAAGTTTTGTCAGGTGTGTAGGTTCACACTTCTGTGTCGGCTTCCTACTGGGATTCAGGCGGCACCTTGTTTTGTTGGCTAAACAAACCCTACTAAGTCAGCAGACTCTTGATACACATAATGAGGGCACGTTTTCGGGTACTCACTGATATATCAGTTTTGCCAAAGTTTGTCAGTGAGGGCTGCCTCTGTAATAAGAACAGGGTTCTTGTCGCATGTGAAGACATTAGACCAACTGACCTAGTGTCAGCAGGCAAAGATATTAACAACCCTGGATGCATACGTAGCAAACCATTCTAGTTGAGGGCATAATCCTGCTTCTGTGTAGTGACTTGTTGAAGGTTATATTCATTTGACGTCAGGCGGGCCACACCAAAGTGTCCTAAAGGATGCCTGCAAAGTGTTTCCAACCTTTCAGCGAGCATATTTGGTTGGATATTTGCTATAGTGAGACCACGTTAAAGGTAACCGGATGCAAGATGGATTGACATATGTAAGGGATATGGTATTGGCATTGTCTCTCTTGCTTGTTTTTGTTTAATAATGTGGCCTGCTGGCATTGTTCCAGGTTCTACTTGGAAAGCCAGTCGAATGAACCAGCACTTGCCTGTATGGCAGATGCTGGTTCATTTCATTCTTTTCACATCAGTGCATTTCTCGAACCTACCACAAAGCTGTGTTGAGGTGTCTGTTTTTTCTGCCTGAACATCTTTTAAGCATTGTTTCTGCACATGGAGTACTGTGTCTTCTCTGCCTTATTTGATGTAAGGTTTGATTGAAAATAAACAACAAACCTTAATTGAAAAAAGTCTACATGGAAAATTTTTATTCACACTGTAAAGGTCATTTTGGATATGCAACTTGCAGGGATTTGGAAAAATTAATTGTGGATGCACTTTTTCTGTATTTCTTGTTATTAGAATGATTCTTATGTCATTTTATATATTGGAATATTCTATCCTTGTTAACTGCTCTTGCCATCAGTGAAAGCATCTATGTAAAAACTTGTATTTCACTTCTTTTTGTGTGAGAAATGTTTGATAATCCTCTAGCTGAAAGTGATTGCTGTAAATGGAATCTGTTTTTGGGGACTCAATATTTCGTGTATTTGGGAATGTGCAAGTTTTGGGGATATTTCACGGACATGAAATTTCTTGATTAGGAGTAGAAAGTGTGTTACATTTTCATTACTATTAGGTCGTTTCTTAGTGTGATCAATTTCCGCACTTCTTTTTTATCAGATCGCGAACTACAAAAAAAGGTTTAGTCGTTTATGGTATCTTTGGTGTTTCTTTTTTCACAAAATAATGAAATGTTTTGAGTTAGTTTTCTCAAAAGGAACCTTCCAGTTGCTATTGTTGCTTTTACTTTGGTAACATAGAACATTCACACCACAAAGAACACACCTGCTGCTGTTTGTAAGTGGAAAGGACAGGTAATCAGAATTATTACTATTTTGACTGCACGCGCCATCACAAGTTCTACAATAACAAAATGTTTTGTCGTTTCCCATTTCTAAAGGCAAGCCCCGCTTATTTCCGAGAGTGTCGGCCACAATTTTGTTTTCAAAATGTGCCCGTGACTTTCTCTGTGTTAGTCTTTAGGTATTGTTTTGTGCAGCGAATCCTCAAAGAAGCTTGGACCCAGTGCTGGGCGGCCCAGTTGGCAGCGGTGGATCCAAGGATGCAGGTTCGCTGGCAAAGGGGAGGACCAGCTGCAAGCAAGAAAACCTAAAAAGGTAGGCCGAAGAAAAAGAAAAATGAGCAGTCCTGCGTTAATCTACAGTAGAGTTGCAGCACTAGTTTTGATACGTTGCGGCAGAATCGTGGGGCGTCGGCGTTGCATCCATGCACCGTGGGGTGTGCGAACAAAAGCGTTCGAAACAAGATAGACAGCCGACCATTTTGTTCCCAGCGCTTGTTTGTTCTTTGTTCCGTAGCGCATGAAAATGCATCTCCTGGCACAAGCTCTCGACATTGACAGTGCTACAACAACATTTTGTTATCGGCTTTTTTTCTTGTTTTTTTTTTTGGGAGAGGGCCCGTGCAATGGGCATTGCATACTACAAAAAACACTGAGTATAAAGCAAGTTGTTAATGTGGCGTAGCTCCATGGTGACCCCTCCGCTACGCACGCAGCGGACCCTGGTTCGGTTTCCGCGGACGTGGGCGATCTTTTTCGAGGATTTTGCAACGCCGACGACGGACACCGTACGCCCCACTACAGTAACTATACTACGTCGTTGTCAGCAGCCACAATCACAACGTCCAAAACGGAGCCCATCACAGCTATCGCTGTGAAAAGTAATGGTTTGAAAATGTCGAGATGGATGTTTTCAGAATTCACCTTTTTCTTAACTCATGTAAGGTTTGACACTTATTTTAGCCCATTCTGAGTGTAAAGATTCAACCATAAAGGGATTAGCCACGCAACAAATTCACCACAACCTACCTTTTTTTTAGCAGCTTTTTTATAACTTTGGTTCACAGAGTTTCATTTGAGTGCATTCCATTTTCTCGTAACCACTTTCGATGAGAGACCACACTGGTGCCATCTGTCGGATAGCCCTGGAATCGCATGGTACTGGACCGAAGGAATCGCGGTATTTGCAAGATCGAATTTTTGCACTATCAGCGGGGAATCATTGCGCATAACATCAAAATTATTGCAATCCCAGAGTAAAAATCTGATGTTTAAAATATTAGAAGAAAAAACAATTAGTGTGTCACGTGACACATTTTTCCCGCTATATTTAGCGGGGAAACCGAATGGTTCTATAGGCCAGGTGACGTCGATTGCCCCCGCTAAATTTAGCGGGAAAACTGAATTGGGTGCCTGGGTCACAAGACGCAAATTTTCCCCGCTAAATTTTGCGGGTGACTGAATTAGCGCGTAGGTCCGCGTGACGTCAATTTCTCGCTTAACTTAGCGGGGAAACTGAGCCGACGTATAGGTCGTGTTGTGTCAATTTCTTCGAGGTGTATACGTCACGTGACAGCACTTTCCCCGCTAAATTTTTTAGAAAATGCACGGACAGGTGGACGGACAAAATTTTATGATTCGGGGGGTAGTGTTAAAGAGTACTTCACGCTTTAATACAGATATTAGTCGAAAGCGTTCTGGAGTTGTTTGATATGTGGCTCCTTTGTGTGAACCGGCCTTTAGGGTGTCCTGCCTTTCCAAACATTTGTCCCCAAGCAGTGTGCTTTTGTGCTCGGACTAAGAGGTCTGACTTCCACTCCTGGATAAGCATGGTGGGCTTTGTGCCTGGAGTCTCTAATTCAAGAGAAATTAACTAAATTTGCAAAATTGTTTCACTTTTCTTTTTTGTGGGAGGCTTAGCACGTGTTTGGAGGAAATTGAGTTTAACCCAAAGGCGTCCAGTTGTGTGAATGGTGCATTTGATTCGTTGCGCAGGTGTGCGCCTCGAGGGAAAGCCCTGGGCTCCTAAAGTATGAGACCTGCTGCCTCCGTTTCCTGGCAGTCCTCTACCGCGGGAGATTGAGGCCGCGACTCCTGCTTACCATGCTGCCCCATCGGTAACCTGATGATGATAATCATAATATTTATTGTTTGAAAGAGTGGAGGGACACGAGGGAAAAAGACAAGCCCTTAGCCCCATACATTGACAGCCGCAGCATCACGGAAGGAAGTCGCTCAGAAATGCAAAAAACGAAAAGGTAATTAAAACACGTGCGACGAATGCTTCAAAATTAGTTTGTGCAGTGCCTTCGTCTTATACTATGATGACGTATGCAAGTGTTTGCGGTAGTCTGCATTTCTTTAAAGCTATTGAGAGATTGAAATTGTGAATTTAAAAATCGCCATTGTTTGGTTTCTGCTGCAAAACCAGGCTTCAGTGGACTCTTAGGAAACATATTCGGAGGTGAAGTGCATATAAAGTAGGTAAAGTTGGGCCTTACCCAAAATCTAACCCCAAATAGTAGTGGCTCGAGTTTAAAACCAAGTTTGCATTTTATAGTCATACAAAACAGTTGACCATATGCAAGATTGTACTCAAGTTTAAAGCCCCATTGCTTGTCAGAGACACATGTACATGTGCCAAAATGGTCGCTGCAATATGACCATCATTGTGACTTGCACAAAATTTCTAGGTGCTGTGAAAATGTCATGCAGGTTCTAAGGTCTAGAAGACCTCGAGGCTTCAAGGCCATTTAAATCCTCAAATGTAATCTGTGCCGATCGAAACAAAGTGCATGAATGCATTATTTGATTATGGCAATGAAAAAGCAAATTAATATGGACGCTTGGCAAACGGCTCCTAATTAGCGAGAAGCCGCACCTCCAGGAGACATCTGCTCTGGTAGTCGGCTTCTCCTTGTGATAGACCTTGGGAAAATTGCATGAAGCGGAAGATGCTCAAACTGATGGCAATGTTGAAAGCTCTGGGAGCTGGGCTTTCTCTTGTGACATGCTCTAAATATCCTTGATGCTGGTTGGAGGCAAATAAATTGAAAAGTATTGAACAGTACCGAAGGTCATCACAATTAGGTTTATTGTATTCTGCCATCAATCACACCGACTAAAAAGAGGTTAATATGATTGTTCAAATAGCCTCATAGCAGTGGTGCAGTGATATGCCCCATATAACCTTGTACACAAATTTAGAACTGAATATGAACATTTAATGAGGTGGTCTTGTGCCGTTAAGAAAACTAAAAGGATACGGTACATCCTGCATCGGCAACAGGCTCGATCTGGCAGCTGCAACTTCTTCCATACAAGTCACGATGTCGACAACTTCCTGGACAAGACGACGCCATAAGCTTGGAGATTCGCTCCAAGGTTCCAGACCAGCAGCAAATATAATTTGAAAGGTAGGCTGTCTGGGTTCGAACCTGCTATTTCCAGGTGACAGCCGCGTGCACAGTCAATTCGGCCGCGCTTGCCACAGTATCCTGCTAAGCGGGCGTACAATAATGATTAAATGATTAATAATAATGGACATAAAAGTAAAATAGGGGGTTTCTGCGTCCCAAATTTGCGAAGGGCATCTGGCACGCCTCAGCATAGGACCGGGGATTTATTTCGACCATTTTGGAATCTTTTGGCACGCAACCGAAATCTTGGTTACCTTCTGCGCAACCAGCCTCCGCCAGATTGTGGCGGGCACCTCGACCAGGGTTCGAACCCGCCACCCGGGAACCCTAGGTGGACGCTTCCTTGCAGCCACTCAGGTGGCGGCTTTGAGCTGCGAACTGGTTGCAGCAGTCCCACTAGGGATCAGGTGTACATAGGGAGCACGATAATTGAGTAATTGAGCCTACAATGCAGGACATGCAAGCGTGTAGACCGTGCACTGTTGCAGCGTCACGGCTGTTTTCATTCTGATCACCGTGCTCCATCTGGTAAGATCGAAAGGCTGCTGGTTGCCTCCTCTTGTGAACTCTGTTTCATTAGCATGCGATATAAGTCTGCCTCCAGTCCATTCATAGTGTAAAGTGTGGGTGGAGTGCTGCTGACCTTTCCATACAGGAGTGTGAACCTGTTTTTGGATGCTTTCACGTGCAGGTGTCTCTCTTACCCAGACATGTACAGATTACCTGAAAAAGTACCTAAATACCGTTACCTGTTACTCGCTCGAAAAGTAACTAAATGCATTGCTCATTAACAATTCTCGAAAATAATGCATTACTTTACCCCCAGAGTAACGAGTCACTTTTCTCTTTGCTTTGACGACCAAATGCACAACTGTTTTTGTTTCACAGTTTATTGTTTTCTTTTCAGTAGTCGTTGCACTTCAGCAGTAGCAAGTTTTCATGGGTTGTTTCCCCACTTCCTTGAAACTAAATCTCCAGCAATGCTGAAGAGTCGTTCTACTGATGCGTTCAAAGGAACAGAAGTGAACAATGGGTCCTGTGCTTTCCCGTGTTGGCAACCTCCGAGTCTACATTCGGTCTGTACAAGATTCTAGAAGGTTCAGCCTTCTAGAAAGGTGAAGGACATTCTCAACTGTAGAGTTTAACTGACGTGCTCAGCGATAAACGTTGCTACATTGTCATACCGCTAAGGTAACTGTTTTTCAGGTTGCCCTTCTACTTTTGCTGCAGTAGATACATACTCAGCTTGGAATAAAAACTAGGCATTTTAAACGGCGTGGCACACATTACCTCTCCAAAGTAACGAAACACCATTACTCGTTATTCAGCCT